GTCAAATCAAAGTTTGGTGATTCTATGTCCGCTGTGTCGCGTGAGATACAACACTCAGTAACTGAGAAAGAAGGAGGTGCATCTGGAGATGGATTGTCAGATCGTGGATTGTTTTCATGTGTCAAATGTGGGATTTGGACTTTTGCTTGTGTTGCCATTGTTCAACCTACTGAATCAGCTGCGCAGTACTTGATGTCAGCCGATTGTAGCTCCTTTAATGATTGGATTGTTGGTTCTGGAGTATCAAGTCATCGAATTGATCCAAATGATGGTGAAGCAAATACATCAGACCCAGATTCTTTTTCAGGTAGAGTATGTGTATGATTCACTATGCCATTGTTGACTAAAGATATGTTTTGGAAGGGTGAGCAATTTATTGTTTAATTTTCCCTAGCCAATATTTTCTTCGTTGATGTTGCTGGCTTGCTATCCTTATTGTAGCTCCTTTAATGAATGGCTTTATGAAGGCTCTTGAATTTGCATCGTCTATTGTATGAATGCTTATGGAGGGTACATTCTTCTAATATCTAGGAAACATGGTAACTTTGATATTTTTTGAATTGCAGGGTCCATGGAAAAAAATGGTCCTGAAGGCTCATATGGTAACCCTGTCCACTCTACTGATCACCAAGGTCAAAGCACAATTAACACCTCAACGATGAAGTCAACTACTTCTGAGAATGTAGAAGTGGGTTCGCATACTGAGATTAAGAATGAGTCATCTGCGCTTGGCTTATTGGCTATGACATATGGACATTCTTCCGACTCTGATGAAGATGATGTTCAACCCAATTGTCCAGTCGTTTCTGAGGATAATTTATCTGGAGATGGTTCATGGGGTGCTAGATTTCACCAAGATGATTCTGCATCACCAAATATTGAGCAAGGCTATGATAGTGGTTTAGAAAGGGGTCCAAGCCAAATTTCTTCGAGATCTGACTGTGAAGATGAGGATTCGCCCCAAAGGTCTGATCTCTATGAACACTGTGGCCACAGAAGAATTAATGGAGACGATGATGAGTATGATTCTCACAACTGCTCTGCCAAATTCACAGAGGAAGACACATTGACTTCTGATCGAAATTATTCTCCTATTGCTGATGAACACAATACTGCAAAATACAGCTGTGCTATTGACCCAGTGGGCAAGCCAAATCTTTCTTATCCTCGTAGATGTGATGAAGATTCTTCAAGGATGCATGTTTTCTGTCTTGAGCATGCTGTTGAGGTTGAAAAACAACTCCGACCTATTGGTGGGGTGCATATCTTACTCCTTTGTCATCCAGGTGGGTGTGGATTTTTTATATGTTGATTCATTGCTGTGTGTAGTGTTGCTTTTAGCTTTTGAGTCTACTAAGGGCTGATATCTTAAGGGAGGGAGCTACATCTAGCTCATGTTAGCTCAAAGGCCTAGCACCTGAGCACCTCACTACTTTCTTTAACACTGCTAGGACTCTAGGAAAATAGTGCCACCTGAAACTTGGGTCATGGGAAGGCAGTCAATGTTATGTAGCTTGGCTTGTTCTGAATGACTAAGCATGCGGTTATAAAAACTTTACGTTTTATTATGTAATGTCTAATGTTGAATCCTTTTAGTAAATAGCAGAACTAATAATGCTTAACTTGGAAAGCTTGTGTGGTTGATGGCTCTATATTCAGTTCTTTGGACAGCTGCAGTCCTGTTATTATTTTTATTGCTGTGTTTATGTTCATCTTGCTTAGATAGGTGATTTTTACTTTTGAACCTAAAGGCTGTGGTTTCTAGGGACCTACGGCCTCAATCATGTCATCTGGACCAATTGGCAACAGATGCAGATTACTTGCATGAACACTTGGCTTATGTATTTTGCAGAAGTGGGGAGTCTTCTGCAGAGAGTTTTGTGATCCTTTGGAAATGATATAAGATGCATGAAAATTGGGTGTGTATAAAATCTGTCCACTTTTCCTGAATATTAATCTATTTTTAGTTATAATTGATAAAAGTAAAATATGGCAGTGTATTGTTTCCTTTATCATATCAATAGCTATGGGAGAGCCAATTTACATTTTTTTTTTTTTTGTTGTAGTGTGTGTGTGTTTTTTTTTTTTTTTTCCTTGTATATGCATAGCATAACTGTGGTAATATACATGTTTTTGCTGTAGAGGTTTAATCCTCGCTGCTTCTTGATACATTTGCCCTGCAATTTCAGACTATCCCAATGTGGAAGTTGAAGCAAAGAAGGTAGCAGAAGAGTTGGAAATGGATTATGGATGGAAAGATATTGCTTTCTCCATGGCCACCAAAGAGGATGAGGAGCGAATTCATATGGCCTTGCAAAGTGAGGAAGCCACACCAAAGAATGGGGATTGGGCTGTAAAACTGGGCATCAATCTCTTTTATAGTGCCATCCTCAGCCGTTCACCTCTCTATAATAAGCAGATGCCCTACAATTCTGTCATATACAATGCATTTGGCTGCAGTACTCCATCAAAATTCTCTCTGGAAGCCAAGGTCTGTGGCAAAGGGTTTGGTAGGCAGAAAAAGTTGGTGATGGCTGGTAAATGGTGTGGTAAAGTATGGATGTCGAATCAGGTTCATCCTTTGTTATTACATAGAGATCCTGATGAAGATGCTTGTTTGAAATCGGATGGGAAAGTTGGGAGAAAATCAGAAACTAGTTATAAAGCTCAAACCACCCATGCGAATAGAAAGGCAGGAAAGAAGAGAAGATCAATGCCAGAGAGTAGGATAGCCAAGAAAATGAAATTTGAAGTCACAGATTTTGCTGATACTGATCCAGAAGATTCAGTGGATGATAAACCTGAGCTTGAAACTAGGAGAAGTGTCAGAAAATCAAAAACACAATGCAGGCCTATCAAGAGAGTAAAACACCAAGAAGAAATTCCAGATACCAACTCTGAGGATTCACAAGAAGATTTTAAATCTCCTCGAGGAACTGTGAGAAGTGTTAGAACCTTGAAGCGAGGAGCTAAACAAATTCTCAAAGCAAAAGGTCATCAGAGTGCTGCAGCCATTCACAATTATTCTGATGATGATTCACTGGATGATAGATCTCATCAACATGGATTGAGAAGCTGCAATCGGAAGCTGAAAGCAGAGGGCAAATCAGCCAGAAAGGTAATATCCCAACCAAAAGATGTGGATAGTGAGTCTGAAGGTTCACCATCTAATGAATCTGAACTAGAGGAGCAGAGGAATTTTAGGAGTCCAGGCTCTTCTCAGCGGCAGGTCCCAGTCCATAAACAATTTGAGCCTGTCACTGATGATGATGAGATGGATGGTGGGCCAAGCACTCGTCTAAGGAAAAGAATTTCGAGGCCTACTCAGGATAGGAGAGAAACAAAGCCAGCAGTGAAGAGGCAAGTACAGAAATCCAAAGGAAAAAAAGCAGCTCCAGTCGTGAAGAATGCTATTCCAGCAAGAAAGGGTCCCAAAATGAGGCTTCCAGTATCAAGAGGTCCAGCTATGAAGGGTCCAGCCAGGAAGAATCCATCTCTCTCCACTGGTGATGCAGATGAAGAAGATGAAGAAGAGGAGACAGCTGAATTTGCCTGTGACGTTGAGGGGTGCAGCATGAGTTTGGGTTCAAAGCAAGAACTTGCCTTGCATAAACGAAACATATGCCCAGTCAAGGGATGTGGTAAGAAGTTCTTCTCACACAAGTATCTGGTTCAGCATCGACGTGTTCACATGGATGACCGGCCTTTGAAGTGTCCTTGGAAGGGATGTCGAATGACTTTCAAGTGGGCGTGGGCCCGCACTGAACATATTCGGGTGCACACCGGGGCTCGCCCATATGTCTGTAATGAACCGGGTTGTGGACAAACGTTCAGATTTGTGTCAGATTTCAGTCGTCACAAACGCAAGACAGGTCACGCAGCAAAGAAGGCTAGGAAATAATATATTTAGGTGGTATGTAAAAACATAATTTAACATTGCTTGTCAAGAATCTGTTACAATTGATTGACCTTAGGTCTTAGTTCAACTTTTAGTTTTAGGATTTCCCATTTTAACTGGGATTTGGTAAGAATTGTTGAATCTGTCATGTCAGGGGGTCTTCATTGGACCCATTCTTTTAGTTTAATCAAGAAATTCCTTGAGGAACTATTTGTCTAATGTATTATATTTATATACAATCATACATGCTATGACTTAGCTTGGTCAAGTGCTTTTCTTCTCTTTGTGCTCATTGTTGACTTGGAAATTTTGTACTAGAGTTGGTGATGCTTATTTTAAATTTCCTTATGTTCTTTTTATAATTCGTAGGATTTGGAAAGAACACATATATTCATGGTTGTAAAAATTCCCATGGGGATCTTGAACTCTTACTATCCTTTGTTACATGATTGATATTGTCTTATGTACTTTTGTACAACGCTACATTGTCAATTTGGCATGTAGATTCTTGCAAAATATTCACTTATTGGCTTCATAGTGAATGTATATATTTGAGTATGTCATTTTACCTTAAAAAAAAATTAATCAATTCCACAGTGTGCATAGTGTTTATGGTTAGCAAAAGTTGGCCCAACATAAATTTTTGACCAAAATCAATTATAAGTACACATTTATTTAAAATTATTACTTATTGAAAATTAAAGATAAGAAGTGACAATGATATACGCAAGTTTTTAATATAGGCCAAAATCTTAACAATCATTCTCTAAAATTTTAACCAAGTATAGTTGTGAATTTTAGGTTTCACAAGCTCGTTTAAATTCGTTTGTTAGCTTGTTCAATATAAAACCTAACTCATCTCAACTCCAAAAAAATTTGATATTTTAAAAAAATGTGTAGTAACATTGTACATTTCATTTCTATTGAAATTAAATTTTTTCTTTTACGATTTAAAATAAAAATTATCTAGAAACTCATTTTTAAAGTTAAGTTTGAGTTAATCACAATAATTGCAAACTCGAATTCAAATACAAACAAACAGATTTATAATTCGTATTTCATATTAATCAAATCAAATGCCTAATGAGTCGAAACTCGAACAAGAATTTTAAGACTACTCCAAATGATCAACTAAACATCGTCTAATTCTTTGGAGTCTCATTTTAGACAATAACTTTATTCGTTTCTTTTGCATCCTTCCATTCCATGCAAAAATACTTTGCACTTCGTATAATTTCATTACCTAATTTGTCAATAGTAGTAGTTGAACACATTCCTTTGTTATTCCCTCTTTTTCTCTTTAACGAAATCAATTTCTTTTTTTAGGGTTTTGAAATGTTCGAGCTTCAACAATGGAGTTAGGGTTAGAATCATCATCATCATCATCATCATCAACAACCTGCCCTTTAGGGCTTTCTCTCACAAATCAACAAAATTCAACAATTTCATCTGCAGAATCTCCTTCTTCATCATTTGATCGTCATCAATCTTCCGATTCCATCAACGATCGCCTCGTTTCTCTCTCTATTGACGCCGTTGCCGCCGTTAATGGCGGCGAAGACGGCGATCCTAAGGCGGAGAGAGAAAACAATGAAGAAGAAAATGGGGAGATTGAGATTGTGAGGAGTAACGATTTGAAGGGTAGAAATAGTAGTGAGGATGTTATTGCTGTAATCGAAGCTACCGACAATGGCGATCGTACGGAGGAGATAGGAAACAATGAAGAAGAATGTAGGGAAGAAAAGAGGGAGATTGAGAATGTGAACATGAGTGAATTGAGTGGCAGAAGTAGTAGTAATAGTTTTGCTGCCGACAACAATGGCGGCGAAGATGTCGATCGCCCGGAGGCGTTAGAGAACCGTAAATTGGGTGTGGAAGAAAAGCAGGGTATTGAGAATGTGAGCAAAATTGAGGGTAGTGAAGAGGTGGTAACTTGTAGGATTAGTAGTGATAGGATTCAGACTGAAATCGAGGCGAGTAACAATGGCGGCGAAGATGGCGATCACACGGTGGTGATAGAAAACCATGAAGTGGAGAGTAGGAAAGAAAAGGGGGAAATTGAGAATGTGAGTAAAATTGAGGGCAGTGAAAAGGAGTTAGCTTGTAGGATTAGTAGTGATGGGTTTCAGAGCGAATTCGAGGAGGGAGACAATGGCGATGAAGACGGGGATGGCACGGTGGTGATGGAGAACCATGGAGTAGAGAGTGGGGAAGAAAAGGGTGAAATTGAGAATGTGAGCAGAAATGAGGGTAGTGAAAAAGTGTTGAGTCGTAGAAATAGTAATAAGTTTCCGGTGAGGCCGGAGGCTGAGGATTGTACGTTTTATGTTCGAACCGGGACTTGCAAGTTTGGGATGAATTGCAAGTTTAATCATCCTCCTAATAATAGGAGATTTCAGGTGATTTATAGGTTTTGTATTTGCTTTTGGGTTAATTTTTGTTTTGATTTTTTTGATTATAGATTTTAGTTGCTGAGTTGATTGAAAAATAGATTTTAAATTTTTGGTTAATTTTTCTTCAAATGTTGTAGGGTGTCAAGGTGAGGGCAAAGGAAGAACGTGTTGCTTCTACTATACATAAGGTGAAGGAAAAGGATGAATCTGTGGACAATGAACAGATTGATTGCAAGGTGTATATATGTTGTCTTTTTATTTATTGCTTGATTCTCCTAATGTTTTTACTTTTAGGGGGCGCTTGGATTGGGAGTATTAAATAAAGGGGTAATAAAAGTCAAACCAAGCAAAATTAAAGTAAACATAGGAGAGGGGGAGCTAGTGATGATGTGATTGTAAGAAGATTTATATAGTGATGGTGTGGTGATTGGTGAAAAAAGGGAACTATTACCCTTATTTTTGGGGTAATAGGTTACACTAGGGGGAGGGTGGGTAACCTATTACCCTCATTTTGAGGGTAATGATTCCTCCACCCCTCTTTTTTTCTAATGTCACTACAACCTCAATTCATTCATAAACACCTTGTCTCCCTACAATAATACCTCTAATCAACTATAATTTACCTAGTTTGACTTTTATTACCCCCTTATTTCATTACTCCCATTCCAAGCGCCCCCTTAGCTTCTCATATTTAGTTCTTAGGACTGCTTATATTGGTTTTATATTGAATTATATATTCTCTTTGGTGGCTTGATATGATATTAGGTATAGTGGTGATTTTCTGTATAAGCATTATCGTAATCACATTTGTTTGAATCATTATGGACCTCCAAAATAAAGGGACTAACAAAGTACCGTAAATTAAGCACCTCTGACTAACATTGGATTACTGGCTGCTGAGTTTTGATATATTGAGTGAACTAGGATCCAGCATAATATTGACAATCTTAGAGACTATCAATCATACTAGACTTTGTGACCTCTAAAAGTCTATATGTATATATCTAAATTTACCCAATTATAATTTAGTTTGGGCTAGAATTGGAATGCAGTGAATGACACAATGACCAAAAAAAAAAAAAAAAAAAAAAAAACAAACCAGTAATCAATCTCCTATGGTAATTCACCTTGATCCTCTTCCTCCAGTTGCTTCTAGCCTTTCTACCCATTGCTACTTGCTTTTGCAAGTTTCTTTATGTCTTCTTTGACTCTTTCCATCCATGTCATCTTGGGCCTCCCTCTCTCCTGTTGCCATTGGAATACAGAGACGGAGAATGTTTATTCCTTTTTTTTTTTTTTTTTTTTAAATATACGGTAGTGCAACCGTGCAAGCTATGAAGTATGAACAAGTTTTCTTGGAAATCCATAATCTAAATTCGGAGGGAGGCTAACTTTTTATAAAGTACTGTAAGTAATCAATAGGTTTCCTATGCCAGGTAACATGAGTGGGTATTTTAAGTAATCCCAATATTTGGAGGAAAAAAAAAAAAAAAAAAAAAAATTGGAAGGAGGAGTAACTTATGTTAATACCAAGGGAAGAAGAGGTGTTATCTAGAAGTATAGCGGTTTAGTAAGCGATATGCCTGAAGGCTGAAATAATAGCAGATGTTGATTTATAAATAGTTGTTTGTGCCTATATTTGTTATATGCTTCACCAATATCGGATTCTTGAAGATGTAGTTATCTTAATCTTCGAGATAGTCTTCAGTCTCTTACATCATGAGCTCCAGTTCTATCTTGGCGGTTAGAACGTCATGTAGGTTTTGTTGTTGTCGTAATGCTTTCTCTTGTAACTGTCTCGACCCTAAACTTGTTCTGATTGTCAGATTCTATCTTGGTCGTTAGCACATCATACTGACTTTGTTGTTGCCTTGATGCAAACTCTTTTAGTGATCTAGAAACTGTCTTGCCCCAAACATGCTCTGATTATTTTTGAAGAGTGTCCCAGCTAAGTCATAGAGTTGTTGCATAATATTATTATTCTTGACTGGCAAAGCCTATTCTTTTGCGGTATCTTGTCTAATAAATACATTGTGCATTCTGCTTCTGCTGTTTTTACTATTAATATTCTGCATTTTTCAAACTGAAGCGACTGATTTATGCCCCATTCTATATGAATTTGGTTTAGCCTTATTTAAAGCTGGTTAATGTTGTCTTGAATATATCCATCAGTCATATTCATGTGATTTATCCACACAATCTTCGAGTAAAAAGTAGTGTTATAAATGACCCCTTATTTTCTTGATTATGAAGTATTACCTAGAGTTTGGTTGGATAGAATCTGATATATGCATCTGCATAATTGACTGTTTACCATAACAAGTTTTTTGACTCTGCTATATTCCTTTTCTCCTGATGCAGTACTTTGATCGTCCCGGAGGGTGTAAATTTGGGAAAGCTTGTAAATTCAATCACAGCAGAAAAACCAACCCTACCTCGAAGCTTAATTTTATGGGTTTGCCGATTCGTCTGGTACTAAAAAAAGAACTCCATCTTGGTTGATATGTTCTTTGAATTAGTCTTCTTTTACATTTGAATTTGTTAACTTGTCCCTTTTCATTTGTGAAATTTGTGATGAGGTTTTGGCTTCACAGGGAGAAAAGGAGTGCCCTTTTTATATGCGCAATGGCTCGTGCAAATTTGGAGCCAATTGTAGATTTAACCATCCTGACCCTACCTCTGCTAGAGGACCTGATGCTTCGCCCAAATACAGCAATGGAGGATCCATCTTTGCACCTAATGCCTCGCATTTGACTCTTGCACCTTGGTCTCCTCCTACCACTTTGAATGAAAATCCTCCTTATATCCCTTTGATGTTTTCTCCAACTCAAGGTGTTCCTTCACAATCAGAATGGAACGCTTACCAGGTATACTTTTCCTGGCTCACCTTGGTTACCTAGTATGTCAACGCTTTGTATGTTTGTTATACTTCAAGTACAGCGAGTGTTTACTAGTGTGTTCTACTGTATTCTTCTCCTAGGCTGTTGAAATCTTTCTAAAGCATGTTTCTCTGAGTAGAGGGTAGTTCTGCTTTTGCATTTTTGAAATTAGGAAAGTAGGTTGAGAAGCTGAGGGAGTTCTTTGGATTATGGAAACTTGAAAAAACAAAAAGAAAAATAAAAAGAAAAAAGTGTAATAGTGATATCTTGAAATTATTTCCCTTTTTTTTGTCCTCTGATAGTTATCACAATCTTGTCCTTTTTGTTTCCCCCCTTCGATGCATGTTAATATTGACAAGGCTCCAGTTTATCCACCTGAGAGGAGCATTCACATTCCACCAACATTTGCAATGAATAGTCAGTTACTAAAAAGGCCGGAGGAAATGCTGGGTGAAGAATTTCCAGAAAGACCTGGCCAACCTGAATGCAGTTACTTCTTGAGAAATGGCGATTGTAAATACAGATCTGCATGTAAATTTCACCATCCCAAAAGTGTGATGGCTCAGTCACCATCGTGTCTTCTCAGTGACTTGGGTTTACCTCTAAGACCTGTAAGTTAACTAAACTTCCTAAGTTTATTACTTCTGTCCATTAATTATGCCCTTCGTTTTTTTTTTTTTTTTTTTTTTTTTACTTTTTTTATTTTTAAATATATATATACATATATTTGCATCACATATACATTTGGCAGCTTTATACCATATTTTTTCTGTCTCATCCCTAAAACCCCATTCAAAATATATTATTCCCTCCCTTTTTTTTAAATGCATCACTTGCAATTACACAGAGAGTTAATTTGCTTTAAAATTATATTGTGCAAGTGGGAAAGTGGATGATTAATTTGTTTAAATAAAAGTACAATGGGGACCATTAGAGAAAGAGTATGTGAGAGATTAGTTTTTTTTTTTTTTTTTTTAATTATTTAATTGAGAAACATGAAAGAGAGAGAAATGATAAAATATTTTGAAGTGGGGTTTTAGGGAAGAGAGAGACGTGATGCATTTAAAAAAAAAAATGGAGGGAGTATCATTTCTCTCTTTTATGGTCCCTAACTCCCTAATTAAATGATTTACAAAATAGTCTCTCATGTGCTATCTCTTTCATGGTCCCCATTGTACTTTTATCAAAATAAATAAATCATCCACTTGCCCCACTTGCATAATGTATATTAGACCAAATAAACTTCTTAAAACTCCATGCATCATCAAGTGATGCAAATAAAAAAAATAGGCAGAGGGAGTAATAATTAGCTAGATTTTATCAAAATTAATTGATAATTACTTGTCCCACTTGCACAATATAAAATATTAGAGCAAATAAACTCTCCTAAAACTCCATGCATGTCAAGTGATGCAAATAAAAAATAAAAGTAATTAAAAAAAAGAGGGAGAAATAATTAATTAATTATCCAGATTTGATAGGGGCCATTTCTAAGTAATTGAGTTGAAATGCCACAACCTTCACTATGTCTATGTTACATCTCTGCCATACCAATGTAGTCTTCAATTTATATTCAAGGGTATCATCAAGGGTAATGTGGGAAATCAATGTTTGACATAATAAATTTAGATATTGGTCTGTTATTTTGGACAACCTTAAATTGAAATGTGGCCTATTTTTTAGGGACATAGGGAGTATATTGTCATGCTATGCTTGTTTTATGTTTAGGTGGGATATGAAAATCTGCTTAAGCATGTTGGTTTTAAAAGCAGCTAGTCTCATACCAGACTGTCTCATACACAATTGTTAGACCATGCTTAGTAGTATGCGAGTTGGATAGGTCGGTGATGTGGCATGTGGTCTGCCCTTTACTAGTCTGACAATAATTTACAAGATTTTGTAAAAAAGTAGTAGCATCAAATGTGAAATTAAAGTGTCTTCTTTCGTTTAAGGTTAAGGTCGTGTTAATCCATGCTGGTAGGTATTAGTTTTTATTTTATTCATAAATTTTATATGTGAGAACCCCCTACTTATCTGTTCACATGGAATACTTAAAGTCTTCTGCCAATATGGACTTCTAAAATAAACTATAAATTGTGGCTGGTAGGTGATGAGAATATGAAAATTCTACAAAGGAAAATAAGTGCCTTGAATGGTTATTGATGTTGTGATAAAGTGATTAAAATTCATATTTTGAGATTGTATCGTCCATGGCTAGAAAACACTGAAAATTTAGGCTATATACTTTCTGATCAAAAGTTATGGTAACTTTTCTGGTGCAATAATGGAGTTTGTTGCTATGTTCCTATATCTGGTTACGCCATGCACCCAAATTATCTTATTTATTGTTTGTGATATCTGTTCTTTTTTGATACTGTTTAATGCATTATTCAAATTCATTTTTGCACCACAAGTATTATAATCTGATGTAATTTGACAGAATTGAGTGAATGTAATTGAAGTGAAATGATTATTTTATGTATTATTCTTCAAAACGCGCTCTCAATTTTTCTGACGTTGATTGCTGCTTTGATGTGAGGATTCAGGGTGAAAATGTTTGCAGCTATTACAGTCGATATGGAATTTGCAAATATGGTCCTGCCTGTAAATATGACCATCCAATAAACTATGCTCATTCATCTGAGTTGACTGTCTCAGCAGTAGATCAGACTCCAGTTTTAGGTGACTCCGTGATCAAAAACCAGGCTATGGCAGCTGAATCCTAAATGGTGAATCTGAAGCATGAATATATTTATGCATTAGATTTGAGAAAAATGCCTTGTAATGACTATTATTCAGGTTAGGAGTTTCAAGAATACTTCTCTTGCTGTCAAGAACTTGTTGAGGCTGATGTTTTCTTATCAAAGTTTTACTTGAGAGCAACTTGTAAATTATGTTTCAGATTATGTGTAAAATGTAAATTATCAACTTCAAAGCTCTATTTGCTGAAAACTACTTCTACACCTGCGATGTTTTTAGCTGTCCAAGCTTGACAGTGATTAGTGTACATTTACTTGCAAGGAATTGCAATTTTTTTTTTGAGAAAGAACATCTGTTTCAATATTATTGCAAATTTGCAACACGTTTGCACTATTAATGCTAAATTTGATGACTTATTTTGAGGCAACACACTTTGCTATTAATGCTAACTCTGATGTCTTATTTTTGAGAAAGAACAATATGTAAGGGGAATAACTTTCCTTCCTCTCAAATCATGAAATTGTGAGCTTATATTTTAGCTAAGATTAGATAGGTGAAAATTAGATGAATAAAATGGATCCTAAATCATAAATCTAAGGTATTAAACCCCATTTAGTGGCTCTTGGGGGTTCCAGCATGTAGTGTCTTTAAAGTTTCGTATTTACCTGCCTTATATATTTACCCAACATTCGTTTAATAGCTTCATGCCACTCGCACATTAGTGAAATAGAGTACTTCCTTTTTTCTTTCATTTAATGCCTATTGGCGTTCAAAATGTTCAATTATCAAGATTTCATTAGAACTTGAGCAAGGAAATATCTCCAAGAATGAAATGAAGCATTTCCAGGGCGACATTCCAGGATTCCTTTACGGTGAAACGAGTTCTGGCGCAGTCTGGTCAGCTCATCTATTTATCAGTACACATCAGTAAATAATTAAGAGGATCAAACAAGACCACAAAAAAGTCACTGCTTCTCATTGAAATATCTGTATCTTTGGGCATATACAGAATCAAATCCCCATCCCCAACCAAAATAAAAATAAAATAAAATAATGAGAGATAAAAGCTAGAGTTCAAAATTGGTACAAGGATGCTAAGCTAAACCATCAGGAGCCATATCCAGGACGCTTTCACTATGTCTGAACACTTGATCAGTTCTCAATGAGGAATTTGATCTTACAGCTTAGCCACATAGTAGTTGATAATGTTTCCAGGCTCCAGCAGACCTTGATATATTCCCATTCCTCATATCTGAACATTGGCTTTGTTACCAGCAAGAATCTTTGAGATCTCGAGGCCTCGACTAAAGGCTTGGTTGAAGAGAAGCCGAGACTGAAAGGTTGAGACAAATGGGAACCAAGAAAGAACTGCAATAGGGGCAAAGATCATCATACCCATCCCAGCATCGTACATTCTAGCAAACTCCCGGATGGAATCCCACAAACCTATGCTTCTCACCAGCTTCTTCCAAGTAATTGCAAGCTAAAACAAAAACGAAAAAGGATTATATTAAAAGGTAAACCAGTGACAGGTGAAAGGGTCATACTAAAGTAAGACAAAAAATAGTGGTCTTAAAATAACCAGAACTATGTAATGCATTTAACAGTTTCCACACATAAAGGGACCAAGACTCCATTCACAGTAAGGTGGTTACTGTTAAATCCTAAATCATAAATCTAAGGTGGTTACTGTTAAATCATATATCTAAGCGGGAGTCTCGGTCCCTTATATTTCAGCATTGGTCATTAGTACATGACACAAACAAACCAAGATGCCAGTCACATTTATAGCAGGATGATCCAACCCTGTCATGTGCACTGATAACTATTTGTATAATCACCAATCTATGGTTGTACTTGACAATCAGTAAAATGCCTCTCATAATTTTATTTTCAGTTGAGCCTTAAAACATATCGTTATTTTTTCAATTAACACTTTACCCTTCATAATATTCAGAATAATTTATTTTGCGCATAAGTACATAGCAACTACAAAATATTAATTTACCCCCCCAAAAAAAAAAAAAACAAAAAAAAAAAACTACAAAGTATTATATCTTACAAGTAATATTTTATATAATTTGCAGGAATTCAATGTATAAAAGGATGCAACTTCATTTAAATATAATAGTATGGGCTGCTCTTCCTAGGAAGTTAGAGTGTGGCAAGATACCTTCTATCCTACAACTCCAATGATGGATTCACTCCCAGGTTCAATTCCTAGTAATTTCCTATAGACATCCCAATTCTTTTTCTCTTTCAAATTTTCAATCAAGATTCCGCCTTTTATTTTCCTTCTATGTTTGAGAGTGCATATGATTGCGAGGCTCCCCCCACTTTGTTTATTCTTATTATCTCATGCAACCTTTCTAGGGCTCAATGTTTTGGAAGAAAAGGACTTTTATAGTTCTCTTAATTCATGTGTTCTTTCACTTGTTTTCATATTTTTCATTCACCTCTTGATTCCTTATTTAATTTGTGTGTGCAAGAATGCAAGCACAATCCAGGAGAACATAAACTTACACAAAGAATTCCCCATCCAGTTGCAATGAATGCGAGGACACAGGCAAACAAGTCTGGAATGGTGAGATCAGTGAGGATTATAACAAGGGCAATGGCAGCCACAAGTCCCAAGGCAGTGACTCCCTGGAAAAATCGCATCCATAACTGGAATCCAGCATACTTTTTGGGACTAAAACTGAAAATCTGCAATTAACCATGAAAGTGTAATTGATTTTGTAAGGTGAAATGGACAATTGAGAACGTGAAATTCAAAAATGGAAGCATACTATACCTTGAATATAATGACAATGACTGCTAGAACAATCCAGGAGAAGCCATATAGCTGGACATAAAAAGCAATGATCAGGATGATAAAATGAAAACATTCAACCAGAAATATCAAATAACTTTACATAATATAACCGTCGCTAATATGCCCCCCTCACCACCCCACCCCCTCTACAGAAGGCAGGAAAGAACAGTACAGAACTGCATGAAAAACCAAAGACAGTGCACGTAGGTCCACTTATTCGTAATACAAAACTCACCCTCTGAACCACAACTCTAAAATCAAAGTAAAACAGACTCAAAGTGGATATGAAATAAAATTTACAATGAAGATTAAGACACTAACCGCCAGTGATGTGTTTGATTTCAGAACATGGAGTTTGTACACAATACCATACTGAAACATGAAAAACCTTAAGCTCAAAATTGTTTCCAGAATACAACCCCTCCAAGTATGGATATGCACCTGCAAAGACATAAGCAATGTTGAGAATTAAGCGGAAAAAAAAAATAAACAAAAAAGTTTACAGCTCAATTTTTAGAAAAACAAGGTAACAAGCAAGAATACACGAGGAATCTGAATCGAAGTTAGACACTATAGCCAATGACACTGAATATATTTTCTATGGAAAAACCAGACTCAGAGACTAATGATAGATGCTGCAAAAATCTGTTTTTTTTTTTTTTTTTTTTTTTTTTTTTTTTAATTCATTGTTGTAGGATTAAGCTTTACCACAATAGGTAAAATATTCAACATCTGTACTCAATTTTCATTAGATCTTTGTAAATCACCCAAGAGAACGAGAGTGAATCCTCAAACCTAGGGCTTTTTCAAATATAAGAACGAGAAAGGCTTACTTTCTAAGAGTACAAGACATCTATGGAGTAAATTAATTTAAAATTTAATTCACACATCTTTGTGACACAACTCAATGACTCTTTGATCAGTTATGTAATTGCTCACTGATAACACCAGTTAGCACTAATACAAGCATCATGGTTTATTTCAGGAACATGTTGACCTATAGGTGTTAACTGTAGTAATCAGAGAGCACTTAAAAAAATCCAACCAAATCTACAAAAACTAATAATTAAACAAAGTGATGCCAAAATTTGAATTGCAGTAACCTTGTAATTTGCTCACATTTTTTATCATGTCAAACTTTTAGCTATATCCAAGAAGTCTTATCAATGGTGGATTTTGGTCGAAAATATTGAAGGGACCGAGACTCCCGCACAAAACTAATCACTATGTCCCACAATTTTATAAGTAAAATAAGGGTTAATTAAGTTTAGTGCCTAATTAATCAAATTTACAGGACTGGCCACAGTGGAAGGTCCTCTATGAGTGTTATAAGTTTATATTTGAGAAGCATCAACTTCCTTATAAATGCATTAGCTGAATAATACAGAAGAAGCAGACATAAACCAACAATCAAGAAAAGGAATGGCTTATTACTACACCATGCCATTTACAACCAAGTGTGATATAACTGTAAAACAAACCTGTTCTTCATCCCACCAAGATTCCCAGCTATGTTCTCCTTTTATACCAACTCCACCCTTGTATAGAAGCCAACTGGCCCAGTCATCCAAATCTTCCACAGTCCTAATGAATATGATAGAAGTGAAACTTAATCAACAATGGGTGACAAAGTACTAAGATTTGAAACAAAGGAATCAGAGTTGTTCAATACTGTGTCCTTGAACTAATAAATTCCACATGTCATGTTGATAAGATAGATTGAATTTCCATGGGTTGTTTCAGTCTACGAATGTTTTAACTCAAATTTTATTAACATCAATAGGCATGAATATACAAAATCACTTGCAGTCATTTTTATCAGAAGCCTACACCCGGCAATGACAGACATGCCCAACACCCTCCAACTGTTTCCTTTCTAATCAGCTGAAAACTACAACTCCCTCTGTCCCATAATACTTATTCCCATTTCTTTTGGGCACACAGTGTTAGGAGAGTCATGAGCTGAGGCATGGTAAGTAGAAAATGAGTGGAAATCTAAGTTAGCAAAAGTCTCATATTCCATATATACTTTTGAATGAGTTGGTGGAGGAGAGGAAAGGAAAGAATTAAAAATGAAAGGGATGAAAGGTGACGTCATTTACTCAGTCTCATTTAAAATAAGAAAATGGGAATAATTATTGAAGTTGGGACAGACAAAACTGGAAAAATTGGGAAGATTACTGCGGGAAAGAGGGAGTTGTTTCTTCACAACACCCCATAATTTAATGATGACCAGGAACAACATTAGCTTATTGTGTTCTGATCTATCCCTAAGGATCCATAAGTTGAGTTAAACTAAAGTCACCAGCAATAATATATACAACCAACAAACTAAGCCTTATAATTATTTGCCAAGCATATCATAGATTAATCTATTTTACACTCTATTAAAGTCTTTATAGCTGCATTAATCATATTAGCAGCCTACAAGCTCCATACCAAAAGTGAAAAACAAACACCATCCAGTACGAATCCCATCCCCTAATCCCCTGGAGGTAGAATTAGAGGAGCTTCAGATGTAAGCAGCTCTCCCTTGTCCATCAGCAGTTCTGAATTTCATATTTTAATTTATACTCCCTCCGTTTCATATTAACCGCAACAGTAGGTCTTGCACAAAGTTTTAGGAATTTTATAGGGTAGGGATGATAGGGTAAATTTTATCATATAAAGTATAGTTAGTGGAGATATATATAATTGTAAATTGTTTGTAAGAGAGAGAAATAATAAAAAAGTAGTATAAGTGGGGTTTGTAGGAGAGAGAAATAATAAAATATTTATGCAAGTGGGGTTAGTGGGAGAGAAAAATAATAAAATAGTAGTGGGTCTTTACCAAATTAGGAAGTGTTGCAACTATTATGAAACGGTTGTAAAAGGAAAGTGTTGTGATTATTACGAAACGGAGGGAGTACCCAACTTCCAGTAACATAGAATTGGGTTTGATATCTCATTCCATTCAAAGTCTCCTACTATTTTTGGTCAGCGTATCTTTTCTTTTCCTTTATTCTCCTTTTTTCATCTCTTTTGAGAAAAAAAAAGTGGGGCCAGGTGTTAGGGTCATATGGTGATGGCAAATTAACAATCAAAGGATTACAAATTTTAAAAAAAGAAAAATACTTTGTTTAACAAGTCGTAAAACAAAATAGTGATAAAAAATAAAAGTAGACTAGAAATACATACCTAGGGAGCTTATATGCCCCTTGAAGCCCGAGGGAACAGATGAAGATAAAAATGAATTCGTAAAACTAAATGGTAAAAAAAAATGTAAGGAGAAAATACATCTCCATGGAGCTTACTTTTGCCACTCGAAGCCCGAGGGATTAAAGATGTAAGGGGCAAAGAGCCAGGAGATAACAAGGAACCAACTGCTGAGAGTCAATAGCACAAAAGAGACAGCGCCACCCTTTGTGTAGCCATATGCGATGTAAATAGTGAGCAGCAATGCCACTTCAAGCCTGTAGCAAATACTGACATGCTTAGACTCAAAAGATAGTTCATAAAATGTATGTCTACATTAAGTCAACACTATCTGTTCATAAATTTACAAGGTAATACTCACGCCTTAATGAAATGACTTCTAGAGTAAAGCCTGTAGTTCTCAGCAAATTTGATATGCTGGACAACAAATCCCCTACCAGTAGCCCTATACTGTTAACAATAATCATTTAGAAAAATATTATGAAATGCAGGAAAACAGAAGAAAAATACAAATTATTAAATGGAGACATGATATACAAAAGTTAATTAAGTTAGAAGCATATACTTTGGCACCTCCATGCAAAATAGTGCGACCAAAGTAATGAGTCCTTGTTCCTAATGAGAATGTGAAGAAGACAGAACATAACTGCAGCTGCATAGTAATGAAACTGAAGATAGCCTGCACGTGATCATAAAATCTTCTTAAGTAATAGAAAATGGCTGATCAATTAAATTAAAGTGATTGGAAAGAAAATCTGGGAAAGGCAAATAATAAGTTCAATGGAAGAATTTATTTCTAAATGGATAACATCAAGATCATTTAAGAAACTTTGCTGGAAGCACATCTGAGCTATCAAAATTAAAGGGAGAATAAGCAGTTAAACCTTTAGTAATCCAAGTTCTAGTATGAATCCCATTATCATTGGCACAGCAGTAAAAACTCCAATTTGAACTAAGAACTGGGCATTTAGAACTGCATCCAAAGCTGAGCTTCCATAAATTCTGGCATCTTTTGCAATCCCTTCATCAAGTCCAGAGAATGCCTGAGTATATACAAAGGCTTGGCATCAGAACACCAATGAACTTAGAACAGCTATGCAATGAATATCGCAACAATTTAAAGAAGCTTGGTCAATAATCCTCTATGTATCTAATGGTGCTTCAAAATGTTGTAGCAAAAAAAAATGTGAAAAATAACAGGACAATGTGAATCTAGATCAAAATTTCAAAGAAAATTTCTTAGTTCCTGTAATTACAAGTCTTTTTAAATTTCAAATTCCAGAAGAAAAAAAGAATAAATGCATTTGCCTTGGAATAATTCCATTACTACTCTCAATGTGAATACCGTAGTACATAACGCACTGAACTTGCTTCAACTTCCTAATATATTGTATCTAGTGAAATAAAAAGATCAAAAGAATATCATGTAAATCACCTGTAAGTCACGCTATTTTGATACAACTACCAAAAGAAATTTAACCCAAGAATTATGGATGGAGTTCATTATCAATTAAAACTGATTTGAGTTCTACCAAACTAGAATACTTGCAATGAAATTATTCACGCGATTTAAGAAAGCAAGGAAAGACAAAGTCTATCTTGATAAACTTACCAGGTATACCCTTCCATATAAGAAAATGTATATAGTAAGAACTGTCATCTGCATCGAAATGAAAATCAATGATGTCAGCAATAAGAATGATCAACTAACGGAAAACAGCAACTTCTGAAATAAAATTAAGGTTCCCTCTCTCCATTATTGTTTGCCCCAATTTCCATTTTATTCCGTCACTTTCAGTATGCCCCATACTACTGTTGGGTACAGAGGACCACACCTTTTCTCACAACCATAACGCTTAGTCCCACCACTTTTCTCTCTTATTAATTTCTTCCAACCAAAAATTAAAAAAGTAACACTACCTCTATGGAGCAAAAAAGAGGAGAGAGAGAGAGAGAGAGAGAGAGAGAGAGAGAGAGAGAGAGAGAGAGAGAGAGAGAGAGAGAGAGAGAGATGACAAACTTACCATCGTGCACACATAATAACCCACAGTAGTAAAGTAGAAAGAAAGCATTCTGAAGAAGTCAAAAAGCTGCCCAAGCCTGTACACATCTCTACTGAGGACCTGCTCTCCATTTCCTCCAGCAACCTTACCCTCAAACAGAGCAATTTGGTTCAACCCAACATCTCTTCCTTTACCAACCTATACAATGATAAATAAATTAGGTCTTAGTCTTGCCACCATTTCCTAAACCATGTAAAATAATTTTTTTTTTTTTTTTTTTTTTGGGGGGGGGGGTGGGACATCATCGTAAGAAAAACTCTACATAGTGGCCTCGTATAATTGCAAATTCCAGGTGGTGGACCTTTTTTTGCTCTTTCCTTTAGTGAGATTTTATTTTTGCATAAGTAATTAGGGTGTTCCAGTTGCCATTAACATAGCTAACCTAGGCTCAATAAATTAATATACTAACTTACATCTATGTGTACTACTACTAACCACCACCAACCATATAGCCCTCTTGCTCAGCCCCACCAATCCCTCCAGCCCCTACACCAATCCCACCAGCTACATCTAACAAACCCATGCTAGCCAACCCCAGCCTAGCCTAAACATCTTCGGCCACCACTTCTCCTTCCCATCTTCACTAGATTTAGTGTTTTAGAGAGGAAGAAAGAAAAAATAAAGAAGGGAATGAAGGTGAAGGTGGTTATCGGTGTGTTATGTGGATAGGTTTAATCGGTAAAAATAATTCCTATTCAGCAAAAATTAAGTAAAAAGAATAGGGCCTTACTTTAGGAGGTGAGTAAGATGATATTAAAAAAGAAAAAAAAAAAAAAAAAACCTGTATATACTCATGGTGAGTGATATTTCCCTGACGCAAGGTAGAGTTAAAACCTGCAACATTTGGAGCACCACAGAATTATAAGAGGAAAAAAAATAATCTTTACCAACTTTTGTGGTAGCTGTTAAGGACAAGACTATAAGCAAAGTTTTTCAGAGAAGCATTAAGATTCCTAAATAAAATAAACAAGAAACTAATGGGCCTTGGGAGACATTAATACAGACGAGATACAAAACTAATTTATCTCCCATGAGACTATATTTTGTTGGACTAAATCTAATGACCTTGGGAGCAACAATGAACTTATTTTCAAATCACAGCAAAGTTCTTGTTTATCACACTATTTAAGAAAACTAAGGAAACTCTATTCTGATTCATAAACAATAATGACATCCAGTAGAACAATACCGAACAGTGACCAACTCACTAAGAGATACACTTGCTATGCAAAATTTAGAAACAGTAGCAACCCCAAATAGTAGATAACCGGGTTAACATATCAACAACTCAGCCATTTCGGCAACTACTCCTTCCATAGTTTATTACTTGCTCCATTTCCCCAGTCACGGGGTTTTAGGAGGAATAGTCGAAAGTATTATTTTGTGATGGAAATGCGGTTGGTTGAAGAATAAAAAAATATGAAAAAACAAAAGTGAGTATAAGTGCGGAGAAGAGAGGATATGAAAAATATTAAATATGGTATTAGGGAACACTAGTGGGAGAAAAATAATAAGATATTGTTTAAAGTTTCCAAAAAAGGAAATGGAGCAAGTATTAAAATACGGCCGCAAAAGAAAAGTGGAGCAAGTAATAAAATACTAGGGGAGTATAATAAAGTTGAAAGACAGTTGCACCTCGCACCATATAAATTCAGTGTAGGTCCAATTGTATTGGCCAATGACTGGGTTTGTTTGACTAATCCCTCACAAATCACATATTATAGATCAGTATAAAATGTGTCATTGTTCAACACTTTCTCATAATATTCACATATCAGTAATTCTCAAATATCACCTAGTAACCAACCACTCAAATTTCCCATGTACTATTCCCTCGAGCCCACTACTTTTTTGTCATAGATTCCAAAGTGGATAAAAATGAGAGACAAATGTAGTAATATAAAGAGCCATAATTTACTCATCCATATACAGATTGCACAATCTAATTATCACTTTGAAATTACACAGCTTGGGATTCAGTCAAATAATCACCGTCTTTTGTTCAGAAATAGTTCAATAATGTGATGTCCTGATCTCATCTACCCTAACAATAAGAAGGAGTTTGGTTTGTGCAGGGGAAAGAGAATGGAGGAGAAAGGAATGAAACCCCCTTTATTGCACATGATATTTAACCCCCTTTAAATTCATAATGCTTCTCTCTGCTCTTTACTGCCACCACTTTTCTACTCTCTCTTCCTTACCCACCATCATTACCACAAAGCTCACCACCAACTAATTACCAACCAACGAAATAATAGAAGATATAGGGCTTATGCCAAGATTTAGTTCTTAATTTGACTTGGTTCTCATCTTTATTTCCTCTGCACTTCTTTTTGGATCTTTACAAAAACCCACCTTAGAAACTAATGCAGCCACCCCATTCAATTCACTGTCCTTGCTCCGCCTCCTGGAAGAAGTCTTCACATTGTGCATTAGCTAGACTTGGTGGGTTTGTTTTTAAGGTGGTTGGTTTGTTTTCAAGGTGGTGGGTTGGTTTCGGATGGGTATGGTTGATTTCTGAGGCGGTTTTCGGGATGAGTGGGTTCATTTTTGGGGTGCTGGAAAGGTATTCTGGAGTAAGGTAGATTGGTAGGTTATCGAGGTGGGTTGTTAGAGTTTTGGGTGTGTGGGGGTGGTTTTAGGCCCACCGGTAAAGCAATAGGATGTGCTAAACTGCTAATGGGAAGTGGGGTGGTTCTGGTGGTTGAAGAGATATGACAGGGTAGTTAACATTAGTAGCATATTGTTGGTTAAGGAGTTTGGGGGTAGTTGATCCCATGAGGGTGTGGGAAATCATGGTATGGAAAAGTGGGGGAAACAAAAGGTTAAAGGGAATGATTAAAATAGCTTTGTAAACATAGAATAGGGTTATTAGTGCTGTTTCCCTCACCCATTCTACAAAACCTCAAACCACACGCCCCCTAAAACTATCAACCTAAATTGGTTAATGTTATTGACTTAAACTAATTTAATGTTGGGTGTGGCCCAAATTTTACAGGCCCATTGTTTTGGTGGAGTATTTATGCATGTTCCTCATAAGCTTCCGAAAAAATCAAGCAAGGTTAGTGCTAGCTTATGATTTCTCTAGATTTTTCTACTAGTTTGTATCATGCAAGCTCCTTGAAAGTTCTAGAAAATTCTAAAAATTTGGAAGTAACTAGAAATTGTGAATATTCTAGAACATTATGGCTACAAGAATGAAGGGAGTTCTAAAATATTCTAGCTATACCTATACACAATAACACAAGCCTCCCTACCTATCAAGCCTCCTTGTATACTATCCACATTCTCTACTACGATTTCACTATTCCCTTCTGTATTACTCCTTTGTGAGTTTATTTCTAATACATAGTGAAAGTTAGTATTCATAATACTCACCACTAATACTTTAGGGTACTTATATAGTTGTACACACCAATTTCATATAGTGGATTTTTCTGCTCGGCAATGGTGGGTTTTAGCCTCTATTGAGAATGTTTCACACGTTAAATATTGTGTCCCCTTTACTACTTGTCTTGCTTTTATATCTACCCTATTAATATACTTCTCAATCTCTTCATCTTTAATTTGCTTCCAGAACCCTAACATTTATAGTGTTTTGTTCACAATAAGTTACATTTTCAACTTCATCATTAGAGTACTGTAATTTGGTTAATGTTTCAGTTGAACAGAAAATGCAGTTTTTAAGATCACAATTTTTTTGCCCTCTTAATTAAATTCCACAACTTCATCAGTATTAGATATTTAGATTGGACAATGTGACAAATTTATGGATACTTCCATAGATGAAAAGAATAAAGAGAAGGTGAGCTACACAGATATACTTTATTTGCTCAAAAGTAAGCAATTGTTTTCTTTATTTTTCAAATCATTACTAGCTTTGCATTTCTAGAATTCATCGGTGCACAGTTACAGGATCCCAAAGTTCCCATGACTACTCGACTGAAACAGGAAAACATAGAAGGCAAGAAGCAATTCCCTTCATTTTGGTTGGTGGCAGCTGGATATAGGGGTCAGCTGAGTAAGAAGGCATTACACATGGAGGGACCTTGAAATGTCCCTTCGAAAATAGGTTTGATCTTTGAGGATTTTATGTGGAGGTTTGATTAAAAAAAAAACAAAATATATGTCTTATTTATCAGGAAAGCCATGCACTCACTTGTTACAACAATAATCGGACTTTGACGTATGAGCTAATGAGGAAGTATTTACATATAAATAAGTTCTTTTGACACATGTGAAGGAAAATTAAAAAGGCACACCATTGAATTTTAGGAAAATCATCTAAAAATCAAATTATTTGGATTGAAAGGAGGGTTATCAATTATTTTCCATTTATGAACTATAACTAGAAAATAAGCAATGGCATAAAAATCATACATACCAGCATAAATATCTTCGCTTATGTTAATAACACGTGAAGCCTTACTAATGCCTCCACGAGATATGTGGAAGATACGATCAAACACATCTGGATGTCCATAATGCATACGCACTCTGCAATATTTAGAAAGAAAAAATAAAAGTGGTAAATATAGATTCTAGGCAAATTCCTCTGTGTGTGTGTCATAACAGTAGAACGGATTTTGAAATTTACATACCCATAAAGTAATCCTATAATAATTGTTTATTTATTTTCAAAAAAAAAAAAAAAAAAAAAACGAAAAAAATCTTGATCAACTTCAAAACCGAATTTTGTCAAAGCTGAATCTGTGTGGAATTCAAAACCAACTTCTTTATTTATACTGCAAAATTTCGTTTCGATTTTTATTAGTCGTGATTTAACCTACAAGGATGGTACCTTCAAAAAGAAGGGGGGGTGGGGGTGGGGGAGGAAACAACTATCAAAGGTAATCAATAAGCTATAAAAAAACTCACTTGAGAGGTTTTGCCAGCACTCGCTGACCTAATGTCACAAAGCTGGTCTCTTGATTGGACATAAACCAAGCAAGTGAAGAAACACTGCACAGAAAATTTCCATATGCTTTATAAAGGATAGGTAATTAAAGCTACACATTTACACAATTAAATTTGTCAAACTGGCAGGGACAAGATGTCTAACCTTCCTGTGAAGACATGCTCCCTTACACCAAGAATTGTTGGAGGACGGATACCATGTTTTGCATGAAATTCTGCAAGAAGGTTTCTCATTTTCATTGCCTCCTCAAGGTAATTATCCTGTGATGAAGGAAGAGAAAAAAGTGAATTGGTAAAAACAAAAACACGTAAGGAATTACACAGGGAAAAAAAAAGGCACAATTAAGGAGTTCAAAACGAATTACACAGGGATACCACCCCATTAATAATTAGAGGAACTAAGTTCGGAACTAACATTATGAATCTATATATATATATATATATATATATATATATATAGGGGAAGGCTCTCGTGAGAACCCCTCCTTTATGTGAGAACTCTTCTTATGTGAGAACACTTTTTATGTTCTAAATTTTTACTTGTATGTTCTAAATTTTAAATCTGATGTTCTAAACTTTTCCTCAGGTGATTAAATCAGATGCTCTAAATTAGTACTCACATGTTCTAAACCATAAATTAGTTAACTTATATGTTCTAAATTTCAAAACGTATGTTCTAAGATTTTTAGCTATATGTTCTAGATTTGAAAGCATATATTCCAAATTTTACTCGTATGTTCTTAATTTCTACTCACATTTTCTAAATTTTATACCAAGTGTTATAAATTTTTATTCACATGTTCTAATTTTAAATAAGATGTTCTAAATTTCATAAAGCAAATTTTCTAAATTTTTACTCACATGTTCTAAATTTAATTCACACAGATGTTCTAAATTATTACTCATATGTTCTAAATTTTAATTTAAGTCACATGTTCTAAATTTTTACTCGTATGTTCTAAACTTTTACTCACATGTTCTAATTTTAGATCAGTTCTCATATAAGTATGAATTCTCACATATGGACCTATTCTCACAGAATCCCTCCTATATATATATATATATATATATATATATATATATATATATATATATCTTAGGAAATATTTAATTCATCTTTTAGCAAATACTTACAAAAAATTAAACAGATCCATTATTAAAAAGATACTCATATTGTATATCATATGGGTACAACTTAAAATTTAAAGACTATGGACCTTCATCATACTATTAAAAGAGGAGAATAACTTGTAAAATATTGTTGAATTATAAATTGTTGTGAATCTTTATAAAATATGGTAAAACCATGCGTTGCACGTGGCTTAAGCGCTAGTTACCACTAAGCTTTTAGATTAAAGGAGGAGACGATTTCAAGGGTATGTAGGGCGGGGGGTACTTTTCAGGTAGCTGATTTCTTGTTACTCCATTCTTTATTGTATAAGTATACAACCTAAATATTTTTCCTTTCCTTTTATATTCTGTGTAAAGAGAAGGTCCCACTGAAGATAAGAGCTAGTGAAACTATACAATGAGACAAACTCAAGAAAAATTTCATGACACATCTCGCTCATAAACACAAAAGGCAGGAGTTTCAAATCATGCTTTTCCATCAGAATCCTATCCATGATTTGAGGCATGGAATTATACAGCCTCTCATGTCATACAAAAAATGTTTTCATTGACCAGCGCCCAACAGAATCCACGTTATACTAAAGGGAACAAAATGCACCTGAATTCAACATACTTTAAAGTTAATATAGGAGAAATAAAGTATGCCAAATCAAGAAGCAACCACAAAGTTCAGGCACTCTGGTACTACTTTAAATGGCACCTTCACTGTAAACACTAAATTAATCGGTTCTCTAACTTTTATAAATACTGCAGTGATATTATTCATCAGATGGTAAATGAGATCGATACCAAAAGGAGATAACGGATTACCTGATTCATATCAATAGTTTGAATTGCTTCTCCACGCGTAAAAACAATTGCATGATTCTGATTTTCAGGCTTTCCTTCACCAAGTTTTGGGTTTCCAGGAAGCTTGATTGAATATATTTCCTAAACATGATGAAATACATTTAGTGACCTTTGAATGAATTTGCAGAAGCAAGAGAAAGAGGTGGAGAGAAGAAAATCATGATATAGGTTGTAAATCACTCGCATACAGAATAATTGATGAACAAAAGTGAAAAGACAAACATTTAGTCATCAGTTACACACATTCTTTATTCTTGACATTTATGAAAATTAGATCCAACACAGTTTGCATTTTACCTGATCTTTTCCATGTACATCTGCTTTGACAAGCTTGGAATAATACTCCTTCAAAGCAGTACCATCAGGTCCAGTACTTTCCTCTAGGTGAATAAAAGCAACTCGAAGTGCCTCATTCCTGAAAAGGTAGAAGACTTCTTACAGCAATACAAACAGACATAAAACAAAATAATGGATACCCAATTCAATCGTGTTTTTTGGGGTAGAGATGATTAGCATCTACTCATTGAAAACAGGAACCTTTCTTTGTCACAAAGATAAATGGTAGGTTACCCATAAATCCAAAAAAGTATATATATATATATATATATATATATATATATATATATATATATATTCATCTTCTCAAATTCATCCTCTAATAAAAGCTCCCTATAACAACCTACTTCATTAACCATAATTTCACCAAGTATAATTGTGGATGAATTTCATTATTAAATCATAATTAATGATTGACACACTTTCCATTTTCGTCCATTCTTGAGTAATTGATACATTACCAAAAATGGCAAAGACACACTAATATTTGTTTTTCTATCTTGCACAATGGTCCACAACTTTTGGGGTCTATAATAAAATCCCCCACCCCCTTCCTGCTTTCCATTTGCACAATGGCCTGTATCTTGCTATATTTCTATAAATAAAATTCCACTAACTTCACTTTATAATAACAATTCAACAAAACTACCCCACTCAAACTTTTCTTGAACTTTGTGTCAATTATATGGGAACGAGGAAGTATTTTATGAGAAAAATATCAAAACTACCCCCGGATGTACAGGTGTAGGTACTAATTTGCGACCTAGTTGTAAGTAGATAATCATTTAACTAGGTGAAATAACAACCCAATGTGCTTTCATTATGTAACAATATGCTTTTTATTTTTGTTAAATGTGTAGTGCTTTTATAATCATGTTTATGCTCTTTATGATTTTATTCTTTCCAATAGTCTATGTGTTTTATTTATAATAATATTTGAGATTTTATCATAATGCTAGTGCTTTTGTTCATAATTTATATGCATTTATCACAAGAAAGTATCAAAACTATCCTGTTGGGTATATGTTTTAATTTGCAAGCAAAAACATATTCGTTTGATGCGTCACAATGAGTAACTTTTGAATATCAAACTTCTGAAATTTTACATATATCCCCTCCGTCCCTATTTAGTTGACATGCTATCCTTAAAAGGTTTTCCCTATTTAGTTGACACACTACTATTTCTTTCCTAAAAAGGATTGGTCCCATCAACTAAAAAATCAACTCCCAATTCCTACCAACAAAAGTAATGGTCCCCACACACCAGTAACTACAATAAAAAATTCCTCCACTACCAACGTTTACATAATAAAATTGAAGTCAGTAAAAATGCCTAAAACTCTATAGCATCAAACTGTATTAACTAAATAGGGACGGTGGGTGCATGTAATTAGCGATATTAACATTTGAAATTGGTAAACATGTCAAAAAGAAATGAAAAATTTAAATGAATGGAGGGAGTATCATTTTACCTTAAAAAAAATTGATACAAGATGTTATAACAATGAAATAAAATAGTGGTTCGGATTTTATGTATAAGAATATTAATATTATTTGTTCACATAATAACCCACGACCACGAAAATTAGTTAGCATTCTAAATATGAGCATGTCTCATAGCATGTCAATGCTTCCATCAATTAGTTAGCATTCTAAAAAGGCAAAAGGGAATTCCTTGCACCTTAGGCATGCCTCATATAAGTGAGGTACACTTAATAAATATGAAAATTTTCTAGAAATAAAGTTGTGCCCCCCATCAAGACTGCCTTGCCTAGACCAAAAAGGTGAATGTGCCACTTTGCCTTGTGCCTAGACAGGTAGAAGCGCCTTCAGAGCTTAATTTGAAATTCACAAGGAAAAAAAAAAAAAAAAAAACCAAAAACAGTTCATTGAAAAACAAACAAACAAACAAGATACTACTCCCTCCATGCCCAATTGTTTGCCCCCAAACAATATTTTACTATATTTAGTTTGGGTTGAGTTGAATTAATGAAAGTGAATATGTGGGACCTAAAGTAATTTTTGCGAGACAAAATTTATGGTCCCCCATGGACATTTATGATATGGGGCAATCTTTTAGGGATGACCTTAAAAGCAATATGGGGAAAATTTTAAGGGACGGAGTGAGTAATGCACAAAGGCACAATGCTATGGCAAGTATAAATGCTACAATACCTCTGCAGTAGTAAGTTAATGTCTGCAGCCTCGGGAGCTTTTCTCTGCCTTTGCTGTCCATATATTTGGCACGAAACAACATATGTGAACTTCAGATCTGCCTGTGCCCGTGCCTCACTCGATACCTCAAATGACTGATTTGTTAGTGAGCTTGTGTCCTCCTCTGACAATTAAACACATAAAAACTACATGATAAATTGACACATGTACCTCATCAAGTTTCAAATCAAATGTATTAGACTTAATACCTATTAATCCTCTTTTTTCCATATAACTCTGAAGCATTAATGCTCTTCTGTAGTACATCATTCCACGCACTGCGATTAGAACAGATAAGTTAACACTGCCAAAGAAATTGGCAAATCTTGCATTTGTTGCATTTAAGCTTTCATTGAACAATTACATGTGCAGAAAGTACCAATCCCCCCTTTGAAAAAAAGATTGGGTGATGAAAAGAGTGATGGAGGTGCTGCCTTTAAATAAGACAATGCTGACCTGTTCTAGCCAATGTCTGTCCACGATAAGAAACCCAGAAACGTAGCTCCAAGTTATCACTAGAACTTTCTTCAAAATCTACATCACCAGAAGACTCTCCTCGATTGATCCGCTCCAAAAAATTTTCCCACTCATCTACAACAACAAAAACAACAAAGATATTTGTTTCAAAGGTAAAGCCACACAGGGTAGGTGAAAAAGAAACAATAATAAGGACAGAAACAAAACCAGGAAAAATCTTCTGGAGATAGAATAGTATAGATACTCCATCCTCATTTTCAACCCGCAAATCTGAAGAGCTATACAGTACTGTCTCACTGTAGTATGGGGTGAATACGCTGACAATTTTGGTGTCAGAAAAATGGGGTATTAATGTTAGCAAGGCAAAGAACAAAAATTTCAATTCCTTCACAAGCTAGCCATTGATTTAAATTACCTGAAAGGCATCATTTCCGACACAGGTCTTGCTGGAGGCATGTGCATGAATAGTGAATTGGTAAAAAATTCTAAACGCCTCCTAGCTTCTAAGTTTTTTGGTATATTAGCTGCTGTATCTTTCACTGTAAGTAGCAAGTGCAGTCTCTTCACTAGCTCCTTCTGTACGATAGAAGAAACGCATTAAAAGGAGGAAATTTATGTTATCACACACACACACACAAAAGAATCTTACAATTTCTGGATCCTTTGGCCACTGTATCCTGGAAAATAGGCGCCCTTCATTTCTTGCATCAACTAATATTTTCCATGATTCAATCTGATCACTAGGATTTGAGAAACCAACCAAACATATAATATTATTAATATTGTATAATCACCAAAACCATTAAAATTTAACGACTTTACGGTTTTACCTGAGATCAGGTGACAATAGTTCGTGTGTCACCATATCATAAAAATCATACAGAGCCTTCGCTGCACCTCTTGCGAGTTCGGGAGTTTCGTTCCTTATCTGTCCTTACATGAATTGACTTTAATTTATGTAACGATAAAGTACTGTAAGAAATGATGGTGGCATTATTCACTTTAAACAGCTTACCAAAAGCCCTGTCAACGCGGTAAATCTTGATTGCACAGAGGGGATCTTCTTCAGCAATAAGGTTAGAACAAGAGAACCTTCCCTTATGCTACCATTGATTTCTTGGTAGACCCTCTCAACCCTACAATAAAATGTCACAGTAAGAATAGAGAACCGGAAACCTGATACATTATCTAAGTTTGAAAGATCTGTTATATATCTTTAAGAAATAGCAAATATAGACATTTCAGTCTTTCCCTGTTATATATCTAAGTTTTTTTTTTTTTTTTTTTTTTTTTTTTTTTTTTTTTTTTTTTTCTCCCCTTCTTCTTCTTCTTCCAAATACACGAAAAGTTCTTTATATTTGTCTCAATAATGCCATAAACTGACAGGTGGTTGACAAATGTGAACGATATATGTCATATAAATTCATACCAGTGTCTCCCATCACAAACAACTATGGAATGTAAGATCTTCTCAATACTATAATAGCATTCCCTAACAGCATAAGCCATGTAATCATCTCTCTTGATTCTATTCCACAGATCCACTTGTGTGTCGTTACAGTCTCTAGCAAGGTCAATAGCCATCAAAATCTGCAACGATTAAAGATAGAATGAAGAGCAACGACAAGCAAAATCTGAACATTAAACAAAAGGAACAGAGGCACCAAAGTTTACCTTACTACTTAGAAGAAACAGAGGCCACTGAACGAGACGAAGGCTACCAGAGTTACTGGGCATATAGAGCAAATCTTTTTCCCTGAAGGCAAACCCATGTCAGAATTTTCAACAATGCCAAAAGAAAGCCAGATAGACCAATATAATTCTGCAAGACTGCAACAAATTTATAAGACAAGGGTCATAGCAATTCACTAATTTGATACCTATTGCTGATGAAATCTTCTTCACGCAAACTTTTGATGATCTCATTCCAGAAAGGAGCAAAAACGGCAGCAAATGTCTTGTTATCCTCCTGTGAGATTTGCAAATAATAAAAACAAATTAGAAAACCTTTCATGGACAAGTAATATTCCGGCAGCCTTCTAGTTCCTATGTTCATAAGTAAATGCAACATCATCCATTTTCAGCAGTTCCAAAAGGATAGAAAGTCAAAATAACCCATTCTAAAGTTTCTCTTGAAGGCTTGCGCACTCCCAGATTTTTTATTCTCTCAAAGTCTAGCTAATCAAATGCAAAAGATGCCCTCAACCCCACTATGACCACTCTCATATACCATGCGCATTACCCCCATGTGCAGAGGAAGCATTATATAAGAAGTGGCAGAACCATAGAAGCATTAGTATAAGTCAATTCCAAAGTAAAAATAAGGCATCCAACAACTTATACCTAATGATATCCGATATTCCAAGCAATGCTCTAATGGTGTTTTAAGAAAAACAGAATTATTTTTCAGTGATTATGAGAATTGAAGTGTTTGAGGACCAAAACATTTCAATTTTGGAGTTGGCCCAATTCTTAAAAACAATGTTCAATTCACCAGCCTGTCTTAATCAGTCTCCCTCTTGAATTGTGTTACATTTACTGCAGCTACAGAAGATTTCTCTCTCCTCAAAAGTCTATTTCCCACAACTCCCCTATATTCACTCTTTCTTCTTTTCCAAACTCACTCTCTATCCTCTACCAGAATCAGCACATGCTCTGTGCCACCATTCACCCGCGCAGAAACCATAACTTGTTGTCCTTGTAATGACCCAAGGAAGGTCACCTGTACGCTTGCAGTATGCTAAAAAAAGAAGACAAAACCAGAGGAGCAAGAATGATAGTAAACATCACAGAAGCTGAAAGACAACAACCAGCCACCCACTCACGAGCCACAAGACAGCAACTAGAATTGTCCTAGGGAATGATCCATTGTACATAAAGAGAGAGAAGGGGTTGTGAATAAAACTTTTAAGACTTGTGAGAGTTGTGACATAAAGTCACTATTGGAGATTTGCAGCCTAAAGCTGCTAGGTTCTATAAACCCTATTGCATTTTAATCAAAGTTTCAACACCTCTCTTTATTTTCTGTTATTTGTTGTGTAGGCAAAATCAGTCAGTCTTGAATAAATTACAGTCCTCTGATTCTGCGTGGCAGCCACTCACCCATGGTAGCTCCAGCTATCTATCGCCAACTCCTCCATCCATATTTCAATGACATGAAAGCCAGTTAGACTTAATCACGGCTGGAATTCTTCATATGCAAGGTTCGCAAGTACAAATCACTAGTTACAATTGAGATTTTAGCCAGATTTTTTTAGTTCATCGACCTTTGATTTTATAAAAATAGGAAAAGTCTTGTCAGAACTCTATCTCTAGGGTCTCACAGTTGTAATTAGTATGGCCCTAAGTTCAGTGAACTTCAAATGTCGAACCTCTTTATTCTCCCTAAAAAAAGAACCGATGAAAATTTTAATTTCACCATTATATTTTTTTAAACATATCATACAACACAGTGAATTTTAAAATGACAGATTTACAATTCGTAATTTTTCCGAAACAGATATGAACGCACCTCAGAATACTATTATTACATGATTTGATGATTCCCAATTAAATAAAATAGATATGGGCGTACCTCAGAATTTTGTCGAGCAAAAGCCATCAATCTGCAAGGTACCATTAATATTTGTTAGATGAACATAATACCACAGTAATCGTAAGCCCATTATATTCAATAAGTCCACTTAAGTCCAATAAAATAAACTACTATATAATGAGAGTACTATATTAACAGAAAAACTTTAAAAGGTTGGTAAATTAATGACCTAAAATTCCTTGATGAACAACTTTTGTTTTTTGTCCGTTTAGACAACCAACATCCATTAATTAATGATTAAAAGTAGTTGAACTGTTTCTAATAGGAACACCAGTTAGCAGCTACAGATCACTGTTTTTTTTTTTTTTTTTTTTTTTTTGCCACTTTGTATGGTTAGAGTGGACTTTAGTCAAACCTGATTTTTCCCTTCCCTTTATATCTCTTAGCCCCCTCTTTCATAAAAAAAAATTTTAAAAAAAAAATTGAATTTATATCCTAACCCCCTTTTATAAAACTTCAAAAAAAATTCAATTTATATCCTCCCTTATTAGGTTTGCACTGCCTTGTTCTCTAGCTCCCTATATATATTCTCTCCTTTTTATCCACTTTTACTATCCCACTTTTCTTTGCTTAGTTTCTTTAACTAATTTCTTTACTTTTCTAGCTTCATAATTCGTAGACAACTATTTATGATACCCGACCGTCAATCAATTTGTTATTATGTTACTATCAAACCAGCGTTCACTGGCAAATAAAGCTCTTTAGAGGGAAGTGATTAGTAAAGTCCAAAAGCCTTCTACCCAGCTTTGTCTTGTTTTATGCTTGCGTGTTGTCTGGCCTATGTAGAAATTGTGTCATCGCATGCATATTAGTACCGCAAAACACGGAATAATAGTGCGGCTAGTACATCGCAATTCGGCCTGTTCAAAATGCCAAGATTTTGGCCAATTCAACCTATACATACTAGTCTCATCCACATTGACTGAATCTTACAATTGCTTGATTCGAGGGCAGCAATCATCAATGAGCAGCCCACATGAAGCATCCAACGACACCAACCCACAGGTGCTGCCAGAATGGCCAAGGAGCAAAAAAGATCTTGCTTAACTTGGAATCTCCATTGGCAACGGCGAAGGCTGCAGCGGTGGAAAAGGAGAAAAAATCACATTTCTTTAGATCTAAACCCTTCCAAGAGAAAGGAGAGGAAACCCAAAAAAGATCTTGCTTAACTTGGAATCTCCATCGGCAACGGCGATGGCTGCAGCGGTGGAAAAGGAGAAAAAAATCACATTTCTTTAGATCTAAACCCTTCCAAGAGAAAGGAGAAGAAACCAAAGGAAGGGAGGAGAGGAGGCGTGGTGGATAAGGAGTTGAGGTAGAATTTCACAAAAAAAAAAAAAAGGCAAAAAGAAAATAAAGACAGAGGGGCAGTGGAATTTCAAGAAAAGGGCAAAAAATTCTAGAGGGAAGAGCTTCTCTCTCGTGAATTTATTTCTTATCTGAACTAGTTTGAGCTTAATTAGTCATGAAATAAAAAGGAAAACAAACTTATGGAGTTGAAAATTAGCTTATTTTGTCTGGATAAAAAAAAGAGTAATCGTTAAATAAAATCTTATTTTGTCTGAAATAATCAGAGAAAAAAAAAAATCTGATACAAGTCGAAAAAAATTGAAGTATAAAGGGCCTTAAAGTACAGCAGTTTTTGTAGCCCACTTCATGGGGAGCTAGTAAAGAATCAACAGGCCTAGATATATAATTTTAATACGAACTCTTCAATATAAGTAAACTTTGAACAACTTTTTATGCTCTGGGTTTTACTGTCTTTCATAATTCATATAATGGGTCAAATAGCATGTCTTGCAAATAAAATTGATTTTCCTAATCTAAAATGGCGTCCGTGCAAGAAAAACACAAAGACACAACACCAAAGCATGCACACACAAGCATATCAACTAAATAGTAAGGGGAAATCTAAATTAGCTAGAAGTTAACATATAGCAAAGAAAGCATATACAAAACAACAATATCAGGTAGGCACCAGCTCACACCTTCTTGTTCTGGAAGATGCCATATTCTTCACAAAGGCTTCAGGGAAGCTCTCAAAACGTTTATGCACCATATCGATTGAACGTATCTGCAATAAAACAACATGATTTAGCAAGGAACCTGTAAATTGGATCAATAAGTGGAGCACAAATAGACAAAGGGCATTGAGGCCTTCAGAAAATGAAATTTAATATTGTTTTATAATAAAAGAGGCTTGTAGATTAAAAAAATGGGCATTGTTGAGGATGCAGTAGTCTTTATTCTCCAGAAACCAATTTGTGTAAGAAAAACAAGAATAATCAAATAAAAGAAAACCTCGCCAAGTCGAGCTCGTGCACCCATCACACCACCTACAAGAGCCGATAAAAGCGTGTACCATATGTGAATATCCATAAGATATATCTGCAGTAGTGGTCAAGTGGAGGTCAGCATAAAAAGATTACAAGTTGCAGAACACAGTACACTAAAAGACTTCGGTCAATACTCATAAAAAATAGCAAAATTATAAAAGTTGGACAAACACACATTAATAGAAAATCATAGTATCATACAAACTTTGTAATACTCTATGTTGGACTTCAAAGATTATCCGTCATAAAAAGATTACCAATCCTCCCCTCCGACAGAGCATGCAACCCATGCCACTACTTCCATCCACGAGTTAATTGTGCAATAGTTCTGATTCAGGAGCTTATATAATTTGCAATGCTTCTCCGAAGAGAAGGGCTGTAGTTGCTTTATACTTGACTAGTTCAAAGTTGCAGCTGGGGGTGTGAGAGTTATTTTATCATTAATGCATCATATATATTTCTTCTCATGGAGTAAAAATGCGGCTTTGGTTGTGATAATAGTAACAATCACGATAACAGAAATGATGCATTGTCATGGACAACAATGCAGTTTTCGTGATAGGATTTTTCATTACTATTTCTCTCCTCTCACATCACTTACTTTCCAATAAACTATTTACCTCACTATCTTTTGTTTATGATTTTTGAATACCCCAACTACCCACTTACTTCTTATAATATTAAAGTCAGTCAAATTACCTAAAACTATGTGCCAGTCAAAGCGTAACATTAAAAAATAATCAGAGGGAGTATTAGTTTTCAATAACAAAATATGATTCAACACTGTTATACCTTACTCAATAGTCAAAACTAATTGTTACCTTACTAAACATAACTAACCACAAAGCAGTTAAAAAAAGACAAAAAAAAAGGCAATTTTGTTCATAAGGTGGATCTCTCTCCTGCATTCTTCTCTGGAGTTTGGCTTGGCCATGATTTCCGTATATTGTCACCACAGTGCAAATAACGATCGCATCATTTCAGTTTTGCATGTAAAGGACATTCATTTGAACGAGCCAATCTCTTGTGGTTTGTTTTTCTGGAAAACTACAATCTAATTTGAATCAAACGTTCTAACCCCAGAACATTACATCCCATGTTTCATTCAACAGTTACTTTTTATTCATGGATACAGTGAAAAATAGCCATTGTCTACCCAGTAATAGCTTTAAGCCTCTCATAGTCTAATATAACTATTCTAATAGCTTACAACTATTATAAAATCCTAAGACTATGGAAACAAATTTGCATCGCAACAACCACAACAAGATCCGCGATCAACACATCATTTTGGTTTCTATAATAACAAAACTGTTCCTGTGATTGCAACCAAACCCGTAATCTCGAACATGTTGCCATGACCTTATTCTAGTTATGCAGTGTTTAGATCTTGCTTTTTAAATTCAAAGGTGGGAATAGAGGAATTGGGTTATGTTAGAGAGAGAGAGAGAGAGAGAGAGAGAGAGAGAGGGGGGGGGGGGGGATCCATACGACTGAACATCAGCTTGTACTTTCTTTGACTTAACTATCTACTCATTTACTCTCTTTCCTTATATAATTTTTCTATCCTATTTGAGATCTAAATACTATGCAGTAGAAACTTGTGTCATATACATGTGAGGAAAAGATTGATTTTATCTTTAACAAGTTTGACGCAACTTTCCTCTGATTTGTATTGTAGCTTTCCACTTTTTTCAATTAGTTTTTACATGTATAACTAAAGAAAGAATAAAGAGTACCTAAACTAGAAATTTGCATTATTTGAAAAAATAGGAAATCTTATAATTGATTGGAAACATATTAACCCTAATATCAATAGTCATTTATCCTTAGATTCGAATAATAAAGTCAACTATATTAAAAATTATGCCCCCTAAAACACATACTGAACACAGCCTCCCATGCGATAAAAAAACTGAGTAATTAGTGAAGCATTTTGCGAATTACGTAGCAGTGGCCACATCCCCACCCAATTTTTGGTTTTTCTCCAATCCTGCACCGGAAAACAATCCCTTCACCCTATGGGTCAAGGTGTCATTTCGGATAAGGGAAAGGGGAGAGGGAGACTGGGACGGAGAGAATGGTGCTGAAGTCCTGCTGGTGGTACTAAAATTGAACTGGGATTATGGGCCGTAAAACTACAAACTACCAATTTATAAGAATGGAAAGCGTTATGGTGGCTTTGCATAGGCAGAATGATATGCAGGGGTGGTCTTTTTAATAAAAGGTTGGTAATGAAAATAAATGAATAACCCCACACTTAGAGGTGCTTTATAATTGTATTATATTCTAAAAAAAACTCCGGTAATCTCAATCCAAAGTAGTTTCAAAGTACTTTGTGTCCTCTGTCCAAAAAAATTATAACACTTCAGCTATTGGAAAGTTCCAAACCAAATGCACATTACACTATTAAGCTAATTTATTTTCTCTATAGGTCTTCTCAAATGAGATTATTAATTATCTCCCTCGTAATGTTGCAATAACTATAAAAGAGAGCAAAAAGGAAAGACAAAAGAACATGGAATGTATAAAGGAGCTTACAGCAATGACAGGAGCCCATAGACTTGCTACAGTAAGCGCATTATAATTATCTGGAAAATACAGCACAAGAAATGCATCAACAAAAATAGACTTCATTTGAGAAGAGGGGGGGGGGGGGGGTGAGGAGAGTTGCAGGCAAAGGATGTTCTTACGCTTTGAGACAAAATCATGCCATGAGTATTCATCGAATCGAATCTGCACAATAATTCTTGTAGGCTCCACTAAGGGCTTAATCTGCAAAATTGCCCACATTTATATATTAGGAAATTTGTTAGACAAATAAAGTGAGAAGTTATTATAGACTAATGGTAATAATGTGACAAAGATTAATGGTAATTATGTGAAAATTGGATGTCAAAAAAAAAAAAAAAGCGACAACTTGAAATGTTAGAGAACAAATAAGTACAGTTGATGTCCTCGTCTGAAATATAAATTGAGTTCGAAGAAAACATACTAATATTTGCCAGGTTCATAATTTTTTTAATGTTATTCTACTGCTCAAGTATTATAAGAATTGTATTTTCAAAATTTTAGTCCTATATGAACTTTCTGTTAGTAATCTTAGAACCAAATGTTCATTTATTTAAAGCTTTAGGTAAATCCTGACCAGGATGCACAATCTAGTTCCAAGATCAGGATATAGTTTTTACTACAGTAGAAAAAGAAAAAGACAAAGAAACTTGCCTGGAGAAAGTAAGCAAACGTAAATTTGCTTGCAAAGATCACCAACCAATAGACAACATATCTGAATAAATTTGAAATAAAGGGCATATCAGTCATCCAAGTAAAACCTCTTTCAGAAAAAAAATGACTTCAAAATAACAACGTAAATTAGTCAGGAGAGAGCCAAACTTCAAAAGGACCAAAAGCAAAGAGAGCTTCAATCACATTGTGGATACAACAGAAACACCTTATGGACTTGCAAAGAGAATAAGCAAAAGAGAGGCACTGTAGCCCGCCAGAAGACGACACTGATTCTAAAGTAACTTACATGATCAAACAAAATGTTGAGACTGCTTACTTCTACTAGAGTTGAGGATTGCAGAATAGGAAAATAGAATAAATTTTTATCAGTTTTTAGTTGAAAGACCAATAATTCTAGAGTTGTAAAGGGCTGAAGTGAGCCCATACAGCCAGTAGAACTCTAAGAGGCAGATACAAGCTTATACATGGTCGATAAAGAATAAAACGCATATACAGCCCATGCGGCCGGCATAAAGCATAGCTCAGTCCACAAGCAACCCTTTATGCGACACAAATTTAAACAATGTGTCTGATATATGTAAACAATACTCATATTCTTGATCACAACATGCAAGGAAATGTCAACATAGAAAGAGCATAAACGATGCTCAATATTCAAGATTCAACATAGCAAGTTGGTATAATTTAGCAAAATCAGAGACCGGAGATCAGAGGAAGACGAAAACTTGATTTCTTCTTAAAGGAACAACCCCAAAGACCTGCTTTCCAAATTAGACGAGTTTGAGGGCATGAAACCCCAATGTATATAATTTGAGTAACATAAAATAGTGTTGATCATGCCATGTATCTGAGAGAAAATATGAAGAGTGGGGTAGAAAGGGCACAAGAAAGCATGCAAATCACAAAAGTATTTAAGAAAAGTTGAAGGAAATTAAAATTAAAATATATAACATATAAAAAAGGCGCCTAGGAATACTCTTATGACTCATTTCACAGCGCAAAGAAGTTTGCTTCAAAGCCCATTCAGAGGAGATCTATTGTAGGTTATCTGATTTTGCGGTTTATACAATAAATAAAAGCAGATAGCATCATAGCATGGTAAGCAAACCTGGCATAATCTATCGGCTTTTCATACAGACCACGTCCAACATAGTATCTCTCCTGGTAACAAAGAGCATTTATAAGTGAATGAACAGGAAAAGCCAGCTCATACATGACAAACCAAGACTTACCTGATAAATCCATTTAAAAAATTGAAAGAATGACTGATCGGACTTTTTAGACAATGTATGACAGGCAGGAATCTTCAATAATACACCAAAAACAAAGCGCACTCCAGCATAAGCACCAAGCATAAGAATATAAATGCGGAAAGATGATGAATTAGTTTGCTGCTTATTCCAATCCTGAAGAACCCTCCTATTTTCAATTCACAAATAGGCAGAATCAGAATGCAAACATTTTAAGGATAAAATTTAGCTGCCATAATTGAGAGATCCACACTCACAGATAGAAATAGATAACAGCAGCAGTACTTAAACTCCACCAAAAGAACCTAATAATAAGCCTTGAAATTGCCATGCCTCTTGCAGTTGTGTAAGCACCAAACATAAGCAGAACATCCAAGCAACCTATAGTCACAAATTTTTACAATTTTTTTACTTGAATAAAGAGAAAAGAAAAGCAGCAGAATTTTAACAAAAAAGAACTTGAATTGAAATAAGAGTAAGCTGATAAAATACTAACTCTCCACAAAATTCATGACAGCATATGTTGGCCCAACACTCAGTAGGATCTTAAATGTATTCAGATTCAGCTTATCATTAAATGCTATAATCGTTAAAACCTGAAAGGGTAGCAATACATATTTTCTCACACCGTGAGCAACCTGTAATAGTAGAATACCTACGCCAAATGTGGAAACAAGAATCCAAACCTGGAACATTATAGCCAAAAAGATCCACATCCGATGAAAACTACGATACAAGTGGAAAAACGTCCGATGTTCAACAAAACTGCTTTTTGCAGTCTGCAAAATAACAAACAGCAAGATACACGCATTAACAACACATAATCAGAACATAAACAAAAATGGAGATAATTCATGAGAAGTGACAGAACTCCAGCAAGCAATACGTACAGATATAAGAGCCAATCACAGTTAAGCAAAATCAACATAATCCCACTGCTTCTAACAAATATGCCACAACAGATGGGTAATACTGTAATAGGGTATTAGTTAAAGCAATTTTAACCTAAACAACTTACACTAATGTGTCAAAAAGGCCTTAGCTGCAACTTCTTCGAAATTCGTCTTTGGGTAGCAATTTCAAAAATTGAATGTTTACCCCTATCATGCCGGAAAAGTAAGGGTGTATGATATACACAGGCTTTAATCACTCCAAAACAAAATTTACATTGTACCATGTAATATTGATATAAGCTATACATTGGGGCAGCAAAATATAAAGTTCAACAAGCATAGACTTGAAAGAGGGAAAAGATCATTAGGCCATGCGGGCTCCCCGTAATAATTATGCCCCATGCCTTTCGCTAATTTAGCCCTTAATACAGGAGGGAGTGCATAGCAATGTTACCGTGACATTGGAATGCTGCCTCAAGGGAATCCGGTATGATGGATATCTTAATTCAGAAGAGGGAGTGGGGGAGGGGGGGAGCTCTATGGCGCCAAACAAGGTCACATGATAAGAGCATTTAAGAGCTTCTTATCATCGGTCTCATCACAAGGAATTCACTATTACAGACTAAGAAGGAGAAACAACAATTGTAAGCTGTGTTAGTGTGTTACTTCAACATGGCCGTTTAGGCCTCGTACCCGAGTCAACCCAATAATGATCTGGGTATGGAATCTGTAGCAGATTCAGGGAAGGTCAGTTGGACACGGCAGTCGGCAGCTTAAGAGGAAAGCAAAAACACTCGATGTGTGTAAATTGGGGGTTGTGGCACGTAATAGACTTTTTATACTACAGCTGTAATACACTACCACAGTACCACTATTTTTTGCTTTTCTAGTTCAATTGTTTGTCTTTTAGAACTGTACTTTATTACTCTTATCTTTTTTTATTGTCTACAATAATACAATATCCCTGGAAAACTTTAAAAGACAGATTTTCTTATTTTTCTTTGACTTTCCCACTTCATTTTTCATTTTCATTTGTTTTTTTTTTTTTTTTTGGGAAAGAACTTCATTTTTTATCAACTTTTTTTTCTTTGTTATGTGCCCCCGTACCCTTGTCAAAAATAAGGACAGGTCTCTATATCTTGAAATTTCAAATTTGCCGAGCCCAAAACTCGGATACGTAACCATATCCGATGCCTGTACCAAGTCCGAGTAACATAGCTTGCCAGGTAAAGTAATCATCCGATCTCACTGCCAATGCTTCTTTCACCCCATAATCTCACTTATGTAAGACTATACCACAAAAGCTAACGTTCATGCAGAAGAAAATATCCAAATAAATATTGAAAGGCTAGAATAAGGACGTTTTAGGAGATATGCCACAAGAGGTTCGAGTTCGACCGGAGTATTATATTGTAATATCCTTTTTCCCTTGACCAAAAAGACCCCTAATTCATCCATCCTTTATGATACTAAACTTTATCCGGAAGGCAAAATATAATCTTATGGTGAGATCTTTCACAAGGACTTTAAAGAAGAAGAAGAAGAACAAATTTTGGCTGGAACAGAATGCTTGGAATTTACAAGCAGTTTTTGCACATGATTCAATGTGGGATTGAGGAAGTTATTGACATCCTATATGGAATAAAGCAACTGGAGATTAGAAACTTATTTATTGGGGGAATTACAACAGAACTGGGCAAATTTGTAACAACTTTCTCAATATTTTCCTGAGAAAGAACTGTCATCTTGCAGTAATTCTCTCTTCGTCAAAACAATAAATTTTTAATCAAAACAAAAATTAACAATAAAAGGACTGGACTTCTCCTCCAGGCTTCAGCAAGCTATGAAGCACGGGTAAATGAATATTTGGTCAAAATCATACCGGGACAGGATTACATTGAACTTAAGCACTTAAATCCAATATCATATAGAATTATATACAGCTAATAACACTTCATTCAGATACAAGTAATTATACATATTGCAAATATATAAATATCATACTAACCCTTTTCCGTTTATTAGGTTTTCTCAAAAATGCTGAATCCTCCTTCATTGGCCATCCTAACTCAAAGCATGTTGGCGACCTAAGAAAGAAAGAGGGATACAAATATTATAACAATGTCAGTGGTTGTAGCATCACAGATTACAATAACTTAATTAAGGATGTAACAAACCAGAAATATTCATTAAAATCGTCATAATTTCTCCATTTTGAATGTGCTGCTCTTCCATTGTTATTTCTTTCAGCTTCCTGCCCAATCAATATGTTCAGGTTTTATATTACCATACAAAATTAATGCATTGGATACAAATTTGAAACAGCTCTGGATCATTGTGGAACATAGTCCCAGTCTAACATAGCTGATTAACATTGTCAGGCTCATTCAGCTATATTTGACAATCTGATAACAACAAGAACACATGTTTATACCAACAGATTTATCACCCCTTGACTAAAGAAAGAAATGGCAGTAAGGGTTGAGAAGCCACTTATTTTCCAAAACTAAGAAAAACAAAATAGGATGTTTCAACTAGTAAATACTACCTCTGTTCCTAAATGATGGAATTACACAAACTGTCGCAGCAACAGAGACCAAGGAGAGTAGGAGAGAGAGTTTAAAGAGTAGGTATGTGTAATACTGAGGATAGTGTATAGTAGTGAGGTTTTTACAAGAAAGTAAGAGAGTTGTAACTTGTACGTGGGGTCTATATATTTTTTTGTTTTTAAAAAAAAAAAAATTACATGTTGCCTAAAATAGGAATAACTGACCTGAACTATTATATCATATATTGGTTTTATAACTTTCTCTAAAAAGTTGACTGAACCATTTTCCAATTTACAGCTATCAGCAATATATGCTTCTCCATGGTCTAATATTGAATCTAACTCCTTCGCCATCTGCAGACACCAAGTAAAAATATCAACCTACAAAGTTCAAGGATAACAGAGTGGGAAGAATAGTTGCAACAATCAATAAGGCAACGAAACAACTCAAGGGTGGAAGCTTACAAAGTGGAAAATGTAGCATATGCATTCAGGAAGAAAACGGACATTGGCAGCCTCACCCCAAATTAGAAAGTACAACGAAACTAAAATAAGCTTTCTCTCCCGAGTAATTGCATCAGAACTGGAAGAGAAACCAAGAAAAGAAAAAAGAAAGAGATAATGTCATTAGATGAAAAAAGGATAGCTGCACCCCATGGCCCATGAAATACAAAGGAAAAGCATCATAATTGCAGCAGGTTGCACAACCTATTCCATGCAATCCGTATCCGCAAATACTTGCACCATTTGAAATAATTGTCCAGCACTTTCAGGTAAACTTCATATATAGCTTTCTCATCTATTTTCTGCACAGGGGAAAGAAAAAAATCAGCAAGCAATACAAAAAAGAAAATAGCCGCGCAATAAAATGCCTCAAGAAAATGTAAGCACACAAACCTAAAAATCAAACAACCTACCACAAGTCCACAACAATATTCAAACTCAACATACACAATTACAACATTATAAGAGATTAAGGCTTTAAACAATAAATATTCTTATAAAGCAAAATGTGAAGAAAACAAATTATACAAAACATCTTCGCTGCCATTACAGACGTGGGAGAAGTGGTCAACCATCTTTTTTACATGGACAAGGGCACGAGTATTAATGAAAGGTATGAATCTGAATGCCCGATAAGACGATTCTTAAATTTTTGGATAAGAGACCATCATCCTAGTTCTGAACACGACTACGGCTTTTTAAAATTATTTATATCTTTTTTAACAAGATTAATAAAAACAATTTATAATGTGTATTGTTATAATACGAAAAATTGCTTTAGTAAAATCAATGGCAGGGTGGGAGGGATCCGTGGTGGGTGCAAGAAAAGACAGATAAAGTTAGTGATAAGGTTTCATATTGGGGGGGTGAAACAGGTAAGGTAAGAAAACGGATTTGTCAAAGAAGTTATAAAGTAAAAGTTAGTCGAACTTTTTTTATCAAAGCTTTGTAGGAAAGCTTAAAAAAAAAATCAATTCAATTTTATTTATCAAAGCTTTGTAGGAAAGCTTCACCAAAAATCAATTCAATTTGATTTTGGAAAATTCATAGTTTCAATTCAAGATATACTTCAGAATTTCACAATATTAACCCATGTTGTTCATAGGCGGCAAAAGATCTCTACATTTATAATTTCCACAGTCAGAGTATGCAATTTCTGTGACAAAAATTTAGAAAATTAATTTAAGCCATGTTACTCACACTCGGGTACCCACATCCGTGTCCATGTGTCCAACCCAGCTATTTTTGTGAAAAATTTACATTATTTTGAACAAAAATGAAGTGTCCAAATGTCCTAACCAAGTCTGAGAGTCGAGGGTCTGTTTAGGCTAAATGAGATAAAATGAAGAATTAGAGTAAAATAGATACTTAGATAGTAAGCATGAATGTTGGCAAGCAAAGAGAAATCTTGATGATTAAAAGATCCCATGCTTCAGTCAATACTCTTTCTCTCATTTCATAGTTCAACCAATAATCACCTCTCTCTCTCTCTCTCTCTCTCTCTCTCTCTCTCCCTCTCTCTCTCTCTCTCATGCTTTGATGCTTGTTTGATTATAGATTCTATGTCACTCTTAGTTTAAAGTTTAATGTTAGGCTATTAGTTGATCATCTCATTATAGAGTAGTATATAAGCTAAGTTTAGGTTAAACAAAATAAATAAATAAAAAATAAAAAATAAAGCACCAAGGCATGATTTTGGATTAACTAGGGTGGCTAATACGCGTACACAACTAGCCATCTCCGGAAATCTCTTTCAGTTAGGTTTTATGTCACAACATTTTGGTAACAACAATTAGGGAAAATATGTAATCAAAAAATTTAAGGGGTATAAATGTCCGCACACTATTCTTAAGAGTTCAATAAAAGTGTCAAATAACATAAATGAGGGCAAATAAGTAAATAAGCATTGAAAAGGGTATAGTTTTCCAAACACTATTTATAAGGCAAAGGCAAAAAAAATAACAAGACAAAACTACGCCACACATGCGGTAAAAAAAAAAAAAAAAAAAAAGGAAAAATGCCACATGTGATTAAATGCACATGCATAAATGAAGATATATAAGTAATTAGACATTTTTACGGTAAAAAAAAAGGAAAAAATGCGACACATGGTTCAATTCGCATGCATAAATGAGGGTATATATGTAAATAGACATTTTTAAGGATGTAGTTGCATAACACTGATCATAAGCGCTTGGTTAAACTTTTAAAAAGGTAAGGATTAAGGAAATTAGGAGACAAATTAAGTAAATAACTGACCCTTAGAATGTGTGCTTAAAGCAAGTATCAGTAAAGGCCTCATAAAATGCATGTGCATAATTATTATCATCTTAGTCAATTGAAAGGTGGCATCTTCGTATGTTCATTCATTCTCGTATGATTTAATTAGGTTATAAATTACATGTTTAACTAGTTTGGTTGGGTATTGAATGACAAAACGAGTGGTTACGTGAGAAAACCTAACCAACAATATATGCATTTAGGCTCTTAATTCTTGGGTTGGTATGGTTTTAAGTCTCTTGGAAGGCTTAAACCTAGTTATCTCGAAATTCCAGATTAAATTCCCATCCCCTACCCCTTATTCCGTTTGTTCATGGCATGTTTAGGGTGATTAATCCCACTCCCTAGTCTCAGACATCATGTTTAAATCATAGTTATAAAATTTTAAGCTTTTAGCCTACATGTTTTCTTTTAATTTTAGTTGGGCTCTTTGTTATCGACTTAACTTATAATAACTAGTCCTTGTTGGTAATTGTTTAATGATTCAAATACTCGATACTATACCCTCTCAGTAGATTTAACTTACTATAGTAGTTAAGTTTGGTAGGTTTGTTTTAGAAGTTTTTGTCCAACGACCTAAATTTCTTCTACAAGTATCACACCAAAGGACCTATCAAACTTTTTTCCTCCGTTGTTGGGTTGCGATCGCAAAAACAGTCGCAGTATCACGGTAACAGAATTGATGTGTTAGTCTTAAGCTTGGTTGTGGTGTAGCGGCAGAATTTTCTTTGAAATTTATTAAACTAAACACTATATTTTAGAAATTTATTTTATTTTATAATTATATTCAATAAGTAATCACTATATTTTAAGGCTTTTTATCCCAAATGACAAGCCACAAACCCTATACAATTCAAATTTCACTATAAAAATCGAAGGAGTACGTATAAAGTCATTAGTAGTACAGTACTAAATTGAAAACTTGGCAAGTGGAGAGGTCCACGATATTTTATTAAAAACAAAAGTGCCCACGTGGGGATGTCTATTTTAAAAGAAAAATGCCCTACTGTCACCACCTACCTACTTGAGGGAGTTTACTTAAATAAATAAAAAAAAACTCAATTACTTTCATCCTCCTCTTCGAGTTCAGCAAAGAACTCTATCAATTTTATTAGAGGTTGCTCCAATTTTTTTCATTCTTACCCTTTATTTTCCATTAAAAAGCAAGTATTTCATTGGGAATTAACTAGCTTATAATATCGGTCGATGCAAGCGAAATTTAGTTCATATGGCAGCCAAAATCCCGGCATTTTAAAAAACACCGCATCAAAACAAGAAAATTCGGCTCGAAATTCAATACATACCAGACGAATCGCAATGTACTGGCCGATTTTATAATATGGTTGCTATGCAAAATTATTTTAGAGCAAGTACAATCACAGCCACAATAAACAGAATCTAGCAAGGACTTACAAGAACATGCTATTTCAGGCAGTATGGAGGTCAAGTACATCCAAGTTTAAAATATCCACAAGAATTACCCAATTGATAAGTGTGCAACGTTTAACCCAGCATTGAGTCCCTCTAACTCAGATGCATATATGAACAAAATTCAGCCAATAACGTAAAAAGTTTTGGGGGTATGAGAAAAAAAGCAAGGAAAAAAGAAACACAATTGTTTTGAATCAAGAAATTAAATTATTCTTCCCTTCAATAAAAAAAATTGAACAAGAAAAAAAAACAAAGAAAAAAAGGCAAAAACGCAAAAATTAATTCTATGGAATATCCATACACTTCACCCAAAGGCAAAGAGTTAGGTACCACACCATGTGTAATCTCCTCGGCTCCACTATGCAAATTTGATCCCCTTCTCATAAGTCAAAAATTTGTGTGTATAAAAACTTCTAACTTACCACTTGGAGAGCAAAACTCTCCACATTTTTTCTGCTTATTTTATAAAACTCATATTTACATGACAAGATTTCTAAAAAGAAAAAGTAAATAAAGTAAATGAGTACCGTAACCACAATGATAATTAATGTTCATCACACTTACAACTTATTATTAATTATACTTCTATTCTTCTTCATTATCTTTCAACCAGTTATACTCTTAAAAGGCAGCAGCAAGAACCAAATCACTCCCTCCCTCACCAGATAAATACAAGCACAAATAAATCGCCAAAATAGCAAGAGCTATATATATATATATATATATATATATATAAAATAAAAAATAAAAAGAAAGAAAAAAAAAATTTGAAAGTTCAGACATAGCATACTCCAAACAAACAAAGATACAAGGATACTCACAGGATCACGCTCATCTGGGAGCCCAAGATGAGATTGTGCATTTGCAATTAAAAGGATGACATTTTCACGTTGATTTCTTATGTTGTCCCTCTGCAAAAGAGAAATTTCAGGGCAACAAATGCATAAGTACAATCACCAAAACAAAGAATAGAAAATAGGCACAAATCACGTTGTAATTTTAGCTCATACATTGGAGTATATAATTGCAACACTCAAGACTTTTCGTTATAAATATACAAGCTTAAAATACAAAAGTGCAGTTTTAAATATAAAGGCAGCACAGAGCATCTATCACCATTCCAGCAAAATGTTACTTCTTTAAACTACAAGTATCTCTCAAGAAAACTAAGACAAACTGTTCCATTAATTAGTCCATGATGCAAATCCAAAACAAATACTAAATTCCTTTACATGTCACCCAATAACATGTTCACCACAAAACGACTAACCTCAAACATTCATAATAACCTCTTGAACTAAAAAGGATAAAAGGCATATTCGCAACCACAACATAGTTTGAATTAACACATTAGGTAAACCTTATGTAAACCAAAACAATCAAAACAGCAGATTTTCCAAGTATTTTAAGGTTAAATAATCACTTGAAAACCTCAGGTGTTAAAATGTATATCCTTTTATCCGCCTTTTTCTTTCAGTTACTTTCTCAAAACTTCAAGCAACCCTTCAGATTTGACCTACAATCCAAACACGATTAAAAAAAAGGGCTTAACGTCTATTCCATATTGGTAAGTAGTCACTTCATAACCCCTTTAATCACCATTGTTTGGTAATGGACCAAACTAACGGCCCCCTACTCAGGCCCAAACCGCCAATCAGACTACACTATCAGAGAAGGGGGAAAGAAGACAACACCCAAGCACCATTGGCACATGAGGACAAAGCTAATTAAAGCCTGCAAGTTCTGAAAGAGAGGAGGAGCAACACCAAGTAGTGGAACGGCAATACTAGCAGCAACTAGGGGTGAGCAAAAAATATGGGTACCCGGTATTGGATCCGGAACAGGTGGGTTCGGACCCGGAATTGGATCATCCAAGACCAGTTCAAAATCTGAATTTTGGGACCCGGTCTTAAGTGGTTCCAATTCCAGTTCTTGAGATTTTGGACCCAGTACCCACTGGGTGCCCCGTAGTACAGTTCTGGATCCTAATTGTGTGTCTAAATCTAAGCTACCTAGTAATCTGACAAGCAAATTAAGCCCAGCCCATTAGTTCCAATGTCCAATATTAATTTAATATGAAACAAAATGAATATTACTATGTTTACCAAAGCAAGAAAGTAAAAAAAAAAAAGGAAAAAAAACAACCTTTAACCCTAATTCCTTACTTTACGCAGCCGCACAATCACCCATTCACCCTCACATTTGCTTAACCACCCACTCACCCTTGTTTCCTCACCATTCAAGCAGGCAACCAACACCATTTTTCTCATACTCTGTCAATAATTCTCCACTGTTGGCTTCAAGTTCTTTTGGAATTAATGTGTGGAGGATGAAATGGGGATGTGAGAGAAAGTGAAGATGATATGAGATAAAGTTTTAGTGGAATGTTGATATTGAATCTATTTCTTGGAGTAGATCGCGCACCCATTGTTCATTACCTTTTATTCTTGAATTTTTGATGGGCTTCGATATTCTGTCGGTCACCATTTCGCTCGTTGTTCAATAGCTTTTTTATTCTATTATTTTGAATAAGGCCGGGTACCCATTTTTGGAACCGGTACCTACCGGTTCCGGACCAGTTCCAAGAACCTTGGATCCGGTATTAACCAATTCCAAAACCAGTTCCAATTCTCTAGACCCGGTCATAACCGGTTCCGGATCCGGATCCGGTCCTTGAGAATATGACCGGGTACCCGGTTTTGCTCACCCCTACCAGCAACAGTAGTGGAAGACAAAACTAATGAGTGGCAGTAGCCTAGCTTTGTATATATAAGAATGTTCGTCTTGGAGAGAAAGGCATAAGATTAGACTATTGTAATTGAGAGTAGTATCCTTAAGATACTTTGGAGAGTGGTAGCCTGAAGTTACCAACTATCAATCAAGCTTCAACCTTTCAACCCTTTTTTTTTATTTGTTCTTGCTTTATTGTCTTTGCATAATATTTCTGTTCTTGCTTGTTAGATAGTGAGGGAGAGTAGTGAATCCTTCACAAGTGATATCAAGAGTAGTGAATCCTTCACGTCTTTCTTCAATCTTCTACCTATTCTCGTTTTATGTATTCTATTCTCTACATAGTTTTTTCTTCAACCTCTTTTCTTTTATGGCATCTTCTCTTCCTTCATCTTTGACTCTCCTTTCTCAGTTTTCTCTCAAGTCTTGTCATTCCTTTTTAAGTTTCTTTTGGCTCCAGTCATAAGATCCCTTATATAAATTATTCAAATTTTGTTTAATGAGCCATGTGCCCTACAGGTTTAAGAAGAAAGCACAAGCTGCTTACAAGTAGTTGTAAAGAGCAGACCAAATTTCTGGTGCATGGTTGGCTTGTTCTGACTGTGCAACAAACACTGCTGGCAGAGCAGGCAGCAGGGAGGGTGGCAGGGACAACGGATGCAGCGTGGTGGCCAAGTTCTACGCTACATGTTTGTTTTATTTTTGTTAAGATTTGTTTGATGGCAAATGAGTTGCCTAACTTTGTAAAGCCTAATATCTTGTATCCATAGCTACGTTATTGAGTTATTCCAAAATAAACTCATATAAAATCGAAAAATAAAGAACTTAGCTAGTTATTTGAGGTTATAAGTAGTTGAGGAGAACAGACCTCTTAAAAGTATCTACAAGTGTAAATTTCAACTAGCTTAGTCCAAAAAGGCGCAACTACTCGACTAGGATGGCAATGGGTCCAGGACCCTGTGGGACCCTACCCTAAAATACGGGTATAGTCCAATTTTTATAGAACCTAAGGGTACGGGTAGGGTATGGGTTAGGTGGTATCGGGTAGGGGAAGGGTCCGGGTACAATGTTTTCAAACCAGACCCGCAGACCCGTCAAACCCACACCCGTACTTAGACCTGCACAGTTTTTTAATTAAAAAAAATATCAAAATCACATAATACTTGTAAAACCCTAAGTATGTAAGGAGCTTATAGCCGACTTGCCGCATATCCAACATTTTGTTTCACTGGTCCAAAGTTCTAATTTCCAAACAAAGAAACCTCGAGTCCTCAACTTCAGTACTTCACCACATTTTGTTAGGCAACATCCACATCGTCGGTTTTATAATTGTTTTACGATTTAACAAATTAAAAATGTTAATGTTCTCATGTATTAGTTTTTTTGACTTTTTTGCGTGCTATATGCAAACGTACACTAAAAAAATACAATTAAAATATATAGGAAAAAAAAAAAGGTAAAGGACCCTGATACTTGCTAGAACCATAGAATCCGGGTAAGGGTCTACAAATTTTAGACCCTAAGGGTGCACCAGGGTATTGGTATGGATAAAAATATCCGGATACGGGTCCGAGTATTACTAGCCCCTACCCATTGCCATCCCTAGCGCGAGATACAAAATGTCCCTAAATCCTAAGAACAAAAATAAGGTTAGCACCTTTCATAACCATGGAGCGCCTTTATTTTATTTAATTTTCATTTTGTGATGTAAAATTAGTTTAAAAGACCCGCAACAATGCCCTGCCACCTCCCCCGCCAGTGTTTGAAAAAGCGCGTCTATGGCGCTGAGGCGCAAGGCAATAGGGGGTAAGCGCTTATTTTGGCCTGGGTGAGGCGTTTTTAATTAGGCGCACGAGGCGCAACTGAGGCGAACATGAGGCGCACCGGAAGCAAATTTCTGCCAATATTTTTAACTAATTATATAGTGCACCTCACTTCAAGGTGCGCCTTAGGTGCACTTAGGTGCTGCATAACCCTTATCTCTTCAGCTCGCCTTTGAGCGTTTTTTTACATTGTCCCCCGTCGGTGACCTTACCCCAGTTAACCTCACTAACTCATTCTCCTCTGTTTGTCCTCTCTGTGTCTCTCCCTCCAATTCCTTTAGACTCCGGTATAAAAGAGCTCAAGGCGCGCTGAAGCGATTAGGGTTTTGCAGCGCACGTGCACCTCTTTCAAGTGAGACACACTATATAAATAGTCGTGCGCCTAATTAAAAACGCCTCACCTAGGCCAAAATAAACGCTTACCCCCTATTGTCTTGCGCCTCAGCGCCTTTTTTAAACACCGAGTAAGGGCATTGGTCACCATAAAGGGAAGGGGTGAGGTCGTGAGGACGCGGGGGCTGCTGTTGGTTGGTGGGTGGTGGATTCGTTTTTTATGTAGTTTAATTATTTGTAAAATAATTTAATTAATAAAAAATCATGGTTAATGATTTTAATTAAAATAGTTATTATATTTGGTCATCAATAATACAATATTATAAAAGATAATAATTTTTCTTTCTAATTTACCAAAGAGAAATAAGAAGTTAGGTGTTACCAAAAAGAATTTCTCTTAAAAAAAAATGATAAGAGTAGGAACATTGGATGGAGAGACATATAATATATTGCAAAGTATTTCCATTTTCAGAATGTTGAACTAAAAAAAATGTCATGTTAGAAAGTGTAATTTTTTTAGCAACCTCAAAGTGACTTTGGAAGGATCTAAAACGGATTTAATATAGCGTCAACTTTTTAGCTGAGTGCGTAGCTAAGGAAATGACCTTCTAAAGAGCTCTATTAGTATTAATCATATCCAAAGCCAAAGTCCACATCTCAATAAAGTTGTCTTTTGGAAGAAACGAAAAGCGAGGGGGGAACAATGAGAAAGTTTACAAGTACAAGACCCAAACGAGACCTCCATCCACACCCTAGAATCTGCCCAATTGCTCATTGAAACTCCAAAACTTTCACTAAGGAAGAAAACTTCTTTAACCCAAATCAAGTAGTGGCCTTCAAAAATGTAAATCCCAAACATCATTGTCATAAAAAGGAAACGAACAAAAATGGCTTATCTCCGCTCCAATTATGTTCCCAAAAATGAATACAACTACCATCCCCTTACCTTGAAACTCAGTAAAAGTGAGAAGAGAGTAGACACATACAATGAATATAAGCATCCCACCCATTTTGATGCAACCCATATTAGCTCTTGATGACTAGATGCGAAAGGGACAGGTTCATTAGAAATACGCCACAATCATTTGCCCACAATCATTAAGAATAAGCAATAAATGGCTGGTTAACATTTAATTTCAAGATTTGTTTAAAAAAAATTAAGCCTTGGCATGCTTTCCAAGATTAGAGTGAAAAGTGGTTCTTCCCTCAAAGAAAAAAAAAAATTTAAATAAAAAAGTGAAACGACGTTCAGCAATTTAGTTTATGTTTCCAGATTATTCTTTAATTTTATTTTATTTTATTGGATAATTTTCTTAGTAACACCCAACATTCGATTTTTCTCTTTGGTAAATTGAAAAAAAAGTTATTATCTTTGGTAATCTTGAATTTTTTATTACCAAATATAATAGCTACTTTGATTACAATACTCAACCATGGTTAGTTTTATAATAATAATATATATTGTTTTCAAAGAAAAAAAAAAACGCTCCTCCCCCATCTCCCCCTCCCTTCCACTGCCAACGCCCAGACTACCCCCCCCCCGGCCCGGCCGACCCCTACCCCGACACCCCAGCCCCAATTTCCCCCATCCCCTCCGAATTTCTCCCCACCTGAACGCCCCCATCCCCTTCCCCCACCACGAGCCGCAACCCCCCAAACCTTAAACTCCGACTGCGCAAACTATGAGCACATAAAGGTTTCTTTTTGTCAGGTGATCTGGAAAGCCATTCATCTTCTGATTTTGTTGTAGCAACTTCTGCTTCTGATTCTAAATCTGATGAAGCTTTAGGTACTAAATTAAGAGAATTTCTTGAGGATAATAGGTGGAAAATTGATGGTTAAGGGGGGAATTTTAAAGGGTATTTGAAGATTTAATTGGAATATAATGAAGAAATGGAGGAAGAAGAAGAATAAGAAGAGGTGTGTTAGGTTTTGGTGGGGGGAAATCGAGGTTGGGGTGTCAGGATAGGGTCAGTAGGCGGGAGGAAAGTCTGGGCGCAGGCGAGGAAGGGTGGCTGGGCGCCGGAAGTGGAGGGGGAGGGGGTGCTGGCTGGATGGGGGGAGGAGGTGGGTTTTTTATTTTTAAAATTATTATATTGTTTAATAAATAAAATAAAATAAAATAAAAACCCTAACTATAGTTAAATTTTTAATAAAAAATTATCATTAATGTTATATATAACTCAATACAATAATTCATGATTATGAAATATTATAACTTTTTTTTCAATTTACCAAAGAGAAAATAAGAAATTGGGTGTTATCAAAGAAAATTTCCCAATTTTATTTTTAATGTGTGTCATTGACTCTAACTTTATAATTATGACTTTTACCTTACCTAAAGAGCAACTTAAGAAAATTTGATCTTAAATTTAGACTAGTTATTTCAGAGCCTTCAAAGTTCAAACATTTATAATCCTGCAATTGTTAGAATTTGTTAGGCATAAATGTGTAGTGGGCTCTAATGTTTTGGAACTATTTTGATCTTCAATGAATGATATTGGTGATGATGTTGGCAGTAAAATGAATAAAGAGAGATGGAAATGGTTGGTTTTTTATTTAGATTATATGCTTAGGTTGCATTCATTCCATCATCATACATGTATTTACATGCATTTTTTATCTAGATAATTCTAGCTAATTTTTTGCTCATATTTTATCTAGGATATTTATCTTAGTAGATTTTTGTTAGGTATTTGTATTACAAAATAATCTAGATATTTATATTACAAAATAATTCTAGTAGATATTTATATTACAAATTAATCTAGATATTTGTAGATTAATCTTTTTAAAGGCAATAATGTGATCTAGTTGTCAAATCCCCACTACAGCATCAGAATAATTAACCCCCTTCTCTCTCTCATGTGCAAGAACTTGTAAGTGGTTATTTTTTTTTTTTTTTTAAGGCAACTTGTAAGTGGTTATAGGTTAGCCTTATTGCCTTAATACCTAAAATAGGTGGGACGCACCCAGAGGCCATGTGTACATTTTACAGAAATAGCCATACTGTGGTATTTTACTAAACAATAAACAAACTAAAGCAATATTGAAATGTTGCACATTGAAAAAGATGAATGCTCAAAAGAGCTATAGAGTAAAGACTTGATGAAAAAGGAAACTATAATCATGTTAAGGGGAGGGCAATGGAGGAAAGGACTGTTTGAAACAGTAAATACGTGGGCACGTGGCAGAGGGAGTAACCTCATCCTAATTAACGAACAACAAATAATACAAGGATATTAAGCATTTCACATTGTAGTTAAACTCAAAGGAGTAATGTGACCCAAAACACTGTAATTAACTTAAACAAAACAGAAAAATACAAAAAACATTCTGAAGAAACCTGGAAACCAAAGGCATATTCCAAAAGATCGAACATGTCCACATCCCGATGGCCAGGAATCTCAAAAGCAGCAGGCAGTCTAGGGAAGCTTTCAATATACCTTACAGCAGATACAGCACCTCTAACCTGATTAAATCATGCAGTATTCAGACTCAGTCATAACAACTTCCGCAAGACACTAGCACAGATGGAAAATTCAACCAAACAAACCAGAAAGATAACCAAAGGCTTAACAAACATCATAGACAAAAGAATAGGGAAACATATTATTGGGTAAGGAATGTCAAAAAAATAAATACAACTACAAGTATTGACAAAACGATCCTTGATAACAGGAAAATAAAGTAACTTTCTAAATGGACAAAAGAGCAACAATAACATGTAACAAAATCATAGCATAAGGCATATGGATGAAAATAGATAAAGATAAAAGCAGGGAGACACAAGCACAGCACAATAAGTAAGAAAAAACCTATACTACTTCCCTCCAATATTATTTGCAAATTTTCTTTCTACATATATTTTTAATCGGTACAATATAGAAGCTCTTGGAAAATAATTTTTGAAGGTGAATATAACAAGATGGTTTTACATTTTACATCCATGTATAAAATGTAATCGGAAATCTATTTATTGTCCATGTTAGAACCATTGACCTCATCTTTTTAGCATGTAGACAATATATAACAAGAGGCAGAAAAATAGAAACAAGACTAGAAGTCTTACCTCTGGAAAAGCTCCAATTGCATTAGTCAAGGAAGGAGCTTCCAAAGGAATAATGTTGTATGGTGTGAGCTCGCCAGACAATGTAGCATCAGATTTTTCTATTCTCCTTAACTGCAATGAACCCAGCCAAAGACACATGAGATATAAATTACATAGTATAAGTATCGGCTCAAGGCAAGTAAAACTTAAGTTTTCAGGTAAGAAGTAACCGTGAACTAAAGCTACATACAATCATACATAATGTCAAACTGAGAAAAGAAGGAAAAGAGACATATGCTTCTGTTCATTCCACACACAGTTCACAAAGACGAATAAAAGCATTACGATAAACCACGAAATAGAGACTTGGAATAGCAAAAAAGATTACTTGCCATTTGTACAACGCAAACCATGTAAGGTCATTGATTTTGACTGGCAGACAAGGTTAAAAATGATTCTCTACAAGTACAGAAAGTATTGATCACGACAGCTCTGCTTCTCTAAGAGTGAGTATACAATCATCTAACCCTTCCGAGATATCATCAAAGCAGAGAAGAGCACCCTCTTTGACTATTTGATGGAGCACAACCAATTCAAACACAATGGTCAATGGAGATAATAGATTTCTTGATTCACTCATGCTCAAAGTCCTTTAAGTTTTATGATTTTGTAAGATGATATGAACTTCTAGAGGAGCATAATTAACTTACCTCCATTAGAACATAATAATGGTCAATCAAAATTATATAGTCGCCATTAAATTGAAAACAATTCCCTACACAAAACCCAATATGACTTGGCAGCTAGAATCATATAATTTCAAAAATTCACTACATAAATGCACTCCAGGTTAACAGCTAACATTTATCTAAATTCACAAATCAGTACCCACCATAAAATAACAGAAAATTTCTGATAGAAGGCTCATCAGGGTGGCATAAATGGTAGCCAAAGTCATGAAAATAGTGCTAAAGGCATAGTGTTGCAAGTAATTAAAACAGAGGAAGTATAAATTTTCATTTGGTGCATTATATTTTCAACTAAAAGCTATCTTCTTCTTTTGGTAATTAATACAAGCTATAATGCTATATTCATTGTTTCACTTTGTAAATACTGAAGAGGAAGTGCAAGCAATGAAGCAATAATATATAAAGAGAGTTATACAAATACTCAAAAATCTGGAACAATCCATAATTGAACCATACTTCCTCAAAGATTAATCTTCCCACTTCAGGAGCCGCATCCTTTGCCAATTCCTTCATCACTTCAACAAGAGCCCTCAATGTAGCAAAAACCTTCCTCATTTCCACCAATCTGAAACAGCAGAATATAATAATGTAGTTTCTCACCAAACTGATATAATAAAATTCTACATAAGATATAAAGAAAAAGAATTATCAAATCCATAACTAGCTAGTGCAGAAGTGAGGAACTCGTTAACTTGTAAAGATGTTACAGATACTGGTTTTCATGACTATAGAACACACGGATGTGCATGAAGCATTGGAAAATCAGAAACAAGATCAATGCTACCTAGTTTCGATACGAATACAAAATTTGCTACAAATTAAGCCAAACTAGGTTAGTCCCGCGCATTGCACGAATTAAATAACTATTTATTTATTTAAAAGAGTAGTTGTTATTCTTTATTCAAAAAATGTGTAGTCATAATCTCATTAATTTTTTTTGAAAGAAGTATTAATTAGTTTGGAACTTAGGAAGAAAAAATAGGGGAAAAAAAAAGGGATGATGTCAACAATAGATAAGGCGGAAAGATTTTCATAAGAGGTTAGACATGTGTCCATCAATTATGTCCTGTTTTAGTAATAGTTAATATAAAAACACTTTCACCATTTGGAGACGGGATTAACAATTTAGGTAGCTATCCAGACTATTAGCCGATGATTCCTGGAAATTTACTTTCAGCTTAAGTATTTGTAACAGATAGTCAGATACCTAACAGTCAAAATGACTATGGACATTGACAAAATGGATAAGATGTAGAATAAACATTCATAAAAGAAGGAAAGTATGTTTTGTACAGCTATCTATATCATAAGATAGGACACTTGTAAACATATCCTTATATCTGCAGTTAAAAATCTTCTCATGACAAGCCTTTTGGAACCAATATTAATCGAATACTCACATCTGAGGCTGCACCATAGCCATTCACTACAAAATCAGCATGAAGCCTAATGTTTCACTACATATAGTTATGTAGATATACTGCCTTCATTTAGGGAAACTGAGACGCAAGCAGTTAATCATTGTTCATATCTTGGTTATAACTTGCTAGTGATTGTGGAAATGAAAAAAAATAAAATAAATAAATAAATAAATAAAAAAAAGCAAAAATAGATAAATTGAACAAATGATTACTTTTACGGTTTTACTCCACTCAATTCCCAACAGGAATCCCTTAGACCCTTACCGACGCAAACTGAGAAAAAAGGCAATAGAGGACTCAAATTCCATATGTTCTTATAAATAATCTGTTAATTAACTAATAAAATTTATAGCCGTTCTTAAAAACAGGGGGAAAAAAAAAAAGGAAATATCTTGTTGTTCATGAAAACAGATGAATACATCCCACCTATGGTGAGAGGGAAATATGTCCTTACAATTGCAACAGACTAGAGGACAAAATTCCTAACGAACCAACACCAGACCTAACCTTATTTCTAAACTTGAGCCCAAATTTTAGTTTTAAAAGGCAAGAGGTTCACTAAGGCGCAAAAGGTCCTTGGACCCTAGGCGCGAGGTGAAGGTGCACCTACCGCATACAAGGTGCAAATTTCCAAGTTTTCTTACTGCTTTTTGGATTTATTTTTTACTACTCCTTCTGTTCCCTTTTGTTTTTGACATTTGGAATTATGTGTGATTATTTAGAAATTGTGTACAATTAACATGAAAAAGTAAGAACAATTCAATGTAAAGCAAGGGTAATTTTGTTCAAATTAAAGACTAGAAAAGGAAAGATACTAAATGTAATGAATAAAAGGGAGCACCTTAAATAGAAACGTAATAAATAAAAGGTAACGAAGGAGTAGTAAATTATTAAATTAAAGAAAAAATATATATTATTTTTATTGTAATACTATTTTGGTATACAAAAATTTAATTAAAACTCAATTTTAAATATAATAAAATTATAATAACAAATCTTTTGAGTAGACCAGTAATAATATTAGTGTACATCGAATAGTTTAAAGGTAACTTTATACCTGATATGACTTTAATGTAAATAAGCAAAGTGATACTATATAAGAGGATAATATAGATAATTTAACGAATTGAGACTTAATTTTACTCATTTAATGATAGCATCAATAAAACATACTTCCTCCGTTCCAAATTAGATGACACGTTATTTTATCACATTTGTCGATGCATAAATTCAACCATAAATATCTTTATTTATCAACAAGTAAAATTTATATAAAAAATAAAAAAATAAATAAAAAATTGATGTTTTGAAAAAACACATTAAGAGGATTCCAACATGATCGTACAAAACTATGCTTTTTGTTATCTACAGATCACAAAAGATAGTCAAAATAGAGTTTGTGATTAGTATAAAAAGTTAAAATGTATCATCTACTTTGGAACGGAGGAAGTAGATAACTTTTATTATAATCAGGGTAATTGCTATGTACATAGGGCTGCCTTTTAACCATTTTAGGGAAATTTTACAACAGAAGTGCAATATCCATTGTACACCCAATTTTTAAAAAATAATTGAAAAAGCCAGAGATGTGGGACGGAGTGATCACGTGGTTACCAAAATCAAAAGGACTAGTGGAGAGAGATCTGCATAAGTTACTCCCTCCATATTTAAATAGGTGAAACGTTTTGAATCCTTACACTATTCATCTAATTCACAATGACTAATGTTTATAATTGATACATAAGAAAAAATGTAGCCTTATGGGTAATTGTTGGAACCATCTCAATGAATAGTTTATTAATATTCAATAATAATTATTTTTACTTCTTGAAAATTAAAAATAGATAATCAAAGTTTTAGATTGTCATACGTGCACAAGAGAAACGTTTCACTTATTTAAATACGGAGGGATTATTAAAAAGGGATGAAAAGGAAAATTAAATAAATAATCCTATAACATGGAGGGCATAAATTGAGAGAGAGAACATAAGCTTCAAGATCAAAAAAATTAAAAAGAATAAAAGAAGATCGAAAAAGAGAAAAAAGCATAAATCAAAGGGAAAATGAAAGAAGAACAAGACCAAATCAAAGAAACTTACTTAGAATACTTGACCTAATGGGCAGAAATTGAAAGTTTGAAACCCATAAATTAAGGTTTCCAAGTAATAGGACTTTCTAATTGGGGGCTAGGTTAAAGTAATTTCATTCGATTAATAAAGGGTTTTTGCCTGATTTTCATTTTGAATAATGGGTAACAAAACAAAAAAAAAAATAGAAATTGGTCATTTAAATTATTTAGATTTGAATCTTCTTTTCTCGCCCTTTTAAGCATACGACTTCCAAGGAGGGGTGCCATACGCCCTTGTGGAGGCATCCTAAGGCCCCTTTTGGAATGCACAACGCCTTGGAAGGTTGGGGCATTTTGGTGTGCACCTTGACTTGCATGGCCCCTAGGCACACTTTTTAAAACTAAGGTCCCAATATAAGACCTTGCAAGTTACAAGGTCTCGTAACCGCCGCAAATTCAAGAAATTCCATCCTAAGATATGGTTGACTTCCCTTTTGCACCTTAATTTGGTATGGTTAATAACATCCCTTCTAACCCACCCATAAATAAATAATTAAATACAAAACAAATGTTGGTGTGATGACTAGTTCAAATATGAAAAGGAGTTACAAGTAACTGTTACCCAAGAAGAATAGTCGATGATCCACCCACCAAATTAACATAAATTTTTACACTCATTTATCACACGAAGCTGAATCTTTAACTCATTTGTCACAATTGACAACTTTCGGCTTTGGCCGTCCAGCACATCATAAGTGAAGCTTTGTAACATAATATAGACAATCTTTTCACATCCTTAAAAAACTGCAAAGCATGAGTTCCATGGATATATCCTTCATCACTATCAAATAGTCCAAATCCTTAATTGTAATATAATAAAACTGCCTACACCATAGCATATTAGCATCCCCATAAGAATATCAACAAAAAAAAAATTAAAACAAAAGAAAAAAAAAAAAAAAAAAAAAGATGTAACTTTCATAAATATAGAAGAGACAAAGAAAAGAAAGAAAAAAAAAAAAAAAAAAAAAAGCATATTTCATAAATAATTTGTTTAAACAAAAAAAATAATAATAATAATAATAAAAATAAGGTTAATTTGTAAATAACCACCCAAAAATGTACCTGTTTTAAAAATAACCACCCATTTAATTTTTATTTTTATTTAACCACCCCTTAAATTAAATAAGCACACAGATTACCACCCATTTCTAAATTCCGGTGAAAATTCCGTCAGTGGGCCCCACTTTTATTATTTTTTTCCTTTTTTTTCTTCTATTCTCTGGATTTCCCACTCTCTCACCCCGATTTTTTCACTCTCCTTCTTCCTACCTTCTTCCACCTTCCTACCTTCTTCCTTTCTTCTTCCACCTTCTTCAACCTTCAAAGTTCATTACCTTAATTCCCCATCAATGGCGACCAGATCCTCCACCACTCGTCAATCACGGAGAACAACCATAACCAGCAGCAATGGCCAACATGCTCATGGCCTCCTCCGCCAAATCCCTCCCAACAACCACCGCAGCAACCACCTCTAAACCCAAATTCTCTCTCCTCAAAACCCCCCTTCTAAAGCAATAACAAAAACTCAATTCCTCTTCCTCATGTTCGCTCTCGACAAGATCTACTACACCCCTCTTGGTGATTTCATGGATAAACGTGATGCCGCCATTAAAGAGCAGCTTGCTGATGTTAAGGATACTTCTTCTGAGGTTAAGCAGCTTGAAGAACAAGCTAATACTGTCATGCGTGCTGCACGTACTGAGATTTCTGCTGCCTTGAATAAGATGAAGAAGGAGACGCAGGTTGAAGTTGAGACCAAGTTGGCTGAAGGAAGGAAGAAGATTGAGGTTGAACTTCAGGAAGCTTTGGCTAGTTTGGAGAAGCAGCAGATTGAGGTTGAACTCCCACCACCGCCTGCCAATTCAATTGAATTGGGGGTTTTCTTAAAATAGGAACCCAAATTTTAGAAAACCCCCAATTCAATTGAAGCATGAACCTAAATCGACCCTTATTCTTTCGGTGGGGTTTGTTGAGGGCGGTGAGATGTGTGTGGAGGGCAGTGAAGTTGAAGGCGGTGGTCGGTGGGGTGTGTTGAGGGTGGTGGGGTAGATTGTGGTGGCTAGTGGTGTATGTTAAGGGCGGTGAGGTTGATTATGGTGGCTGTCCAGTAAATTGGGGTGAGGATTGGGGTGAGGATTGAAGGTGGAAGAAGGTAGGAAGGAGAGTGAAAAAATCGAGGTGAGAGAGTGGCAAATCCAGAGAATAGAAGAAAAAAAAGGAAAAAAATAAAAAAATATGGGGCCCACTAACAGAATTTTCACCGGAATTTAGAAATGGGTGGTAATCTGTGTGCTTATTTAATTTAAGGGTTGGTTAAATAAAAATAAAAATTAAATGGGTGGTTATTTTTAAAACAGGTACATTTTTGGGTGGTTATTTACAAATTAACCTAAAAATAAAACCACAAAGATTTGCAAGTATAAAAATCTGCCGTAACAAATTATTCATCGAAATAATGAGTCACCATTGATATGGACACATCTGCCATTGCCAAATGTTCGGGAGTTCTATGTTGGTTTTTGGAATGGAAAAGCACAAAAATTATGAGTTGTAGTAGGTAAGTGAAAACGTGAATCTAGATACCAACTTAGATTTTGTCAAATCAACGAGGATAAATGTGATCTATTTCCCACGGAGTAGTGATGATTGATGAATGGTGTTCAGTCGCCCTAAAGGGGTGCACCAACATCACCTAGTTTTGGTAACATACAAGCATCAGCTTCTTGGTACTAGGAAGAGAAGACCAATGAAGAACATGAAGTCTAAACTACGTACAGCGTCCTTAAAACATAGGGTCATTTACAGAAATTAACACGAGGTTGTAGAATGATGAGGAGTATTAACATATTGTGTCTTAAATAGATTAAGTGCACAAAAGAGAAGCTTAAGTATTTAGACCTTAGGGTAAAAAAGTTGTAGTATTTCGAAAAGGAAAATCATTATCAATGATTGGTTAGTAAATGCTGTGGTTGAGGTATATCAAAAGGGTGACAGGATCATGAGGTTGAAGCTTATTTTAGGTAGAGATGCTAAGTTCTAGCACATTAAGACAAGAATTATGCTATTCAAAATAAAACATACAGTTCTTAACGTTAACTTACTGAAGAATTCATAACAAAATTCAAAGAGAACTTCAAATGTGATCAAACTTAGATGCAAAGGAAAAGTTCAACACAAATAGGCACGCTATGCACAAAGAAAAAGGAAATTAAAAATTAATAGAAGGGAAGACAAATTAGGTTCCATCCTAGTGGTTTATTAGGGTTAAACAATAAGATTACTTTGATTAACAATATATCCTAGGTTTTTCTATCCTAAGTTAATGAGAATGTAGCAACATGATAGTATTCTTGATTAACATGGTTGTAGCTAGTGAATAAGCCAGACGAAAAGCTGGAATCCAAAATCGACTCTCTCCATATAAATTTATGAAGAGATAGATAATACACCATACAGGATCAAACACAAAAGCAGTCTATGAACCACATCGGAGTAAAAAACCCAATAGACCAAGAAGCGATTAGCAATTTAATACATTACAAATCAGAGTAAAAATCCACTTACTCCCCAAAATTGGTACTAAAGACCCCAGATTCTCGCCAATTTTGTTCTTCACGTTGAATATCATCCACTCTATGTCTTCTCTTGTATTGGTGATAGAATTCCCATAGGCGTTCAACATCACGGTTACGATCTATTTGAGCTCCATCCCTTTTGGCAAGTTTTTGCTACAGAAACAAGCAGTTTACAAAATTTCAAACAATAATCTAGGCCGAAATCTAGAGGAATACTTGCACATTGGGAAAAAAAAAAATAGCCTCTGAATTATAAACCATAAAAGCACCCCTAGGCACTAGCTTCAAAGATAAATTAGGTAGGAATTAATCTAATCACATACAATTGATGTAATACCTTAATGACAGCAATCAAACCAGTCTTGAACTGAAGGACACCTCTGCCTTCACTATTAGGATCCAGATTCTGTGCCATAGAATATGCCTGCTCACACACTAGAAGACAGTCCAAAGGTATTTACATTAAAACATCAGCAGGCAATATAGATTGTAGACCAGACATTGCTGATTTTGCATCAAACTTGTGCCACAAGACCATGCTAATAATATATACGTTAAAGCAGTAGTAGCTAGTAAAAGCAAAAGGAATGACGTTACATCAATGGGAAATTCAATGCCATTCAGCATCATATCCAAAAGACCTATAACAGCACTGAGCTAATGGTGCAGCTGTCTAGGCATTGTACGGCAACAACAGATACTATTTATTGACTATTATATGATTTGGGGGTTTAAAAAACATGAGTATACTTTTGCATGTTTTCCCTTACATCAATTCCTACGTAAAACTTTTCTTGCTTTGAAATGCAAGGGAAGCAGTTTAAACAACACAATGAAAACAGTAAGAACTGAACAAACAAGTGCAGTATCTTCCCAAAATTTAATAATTTGATCGACAAAATAGTTCATTTCATGCTATTAATTTATTTACCATTATTAACAAGCGCAAAAGAGGGTGACTTCAAGGGAAAAACTACAATAATTTGCACATTCAAAAGCGAGTGGGGCTCTTTAACCATGATGTCTGTTATGTACTGTAGAGGTGGAGACTAAGAATTGCACTCTTCAATTATGACATAAACATCCTAATAGAAAGCTCACTATGAGCACAGAAATGATGCCCCATATAAATTCACAGTACATATAATTATGACATATAATTATATGCGCGGTTAATAAGAGAAATGTGGAGGATTTAGGTAGTTAGGCTATGTTTAGTTCACATGATCTCATCTGAATTTTCTGATTTGGTATAATCTGATTTCCTTATTTGACCAAACTTTGACTTAATTTGTACACTAATCCGTACGATTTAAAAAAAAAATACAAAATTAGCAAATGTGATATCGTTAGATTCATATACGAAATTTCATAATTTTTTTGAATTACGAAAATAAAGATATTCAATGATAAATAAAAACAAATAAAAAGACAAGATTTGATCCAATTATTTCTGAAATAAATTGATATCAACTTAAATAAGTTGAACCAAACATAGCCTATGCCCTATTAATTAACAAATTTCTGCTAAAACTGAATTAGCAGAATTTTGATTTCAACAAGACATCAACTGCCATAGAGGTGCTAGATATGATCTTCATGTCTTCCTTCACAGTGAGATGGCTGTTATTTCAGGCTTTTTGGTTTAATAACTCCAGAGGTTGGGTTGTGCTCTTTATCTTTGTTGTGACAACTACAAACGAAGTGGTTCATATTGGAAAGAGCAAACAACAGACATTTCTTTGATTGGAGGTGATTTGGGCCTTAAGAACTTGATTGGAATATAAAGATCTACTTTGAAGTAAGGCTAATGGAAAGAAGATGATAAGGGAACAAAGATGACAAGCAAGGTTGTAACTTGTAAGGGACAATCATCCACGATGTTATTGTAAGTTCTGACTCTTCTAAGGCATATGGATTTTGACTCCACTAATTTCACACCTATTTGACGCTCCTACCACGTCATTTGAAGGGAAACAAAATGTTGAGACCTCTCAAAGAAGGAATCTATCACTACCGATATTCTTATGGACATGGAGAAATCATATGGTTTTTCAGCTAGAAATACCAATCAAAACAATTATTAGCATAAAGGTTAAGGAGACTGGTAATCACAACAGCTAACATCAAGTGAATGCTTGAGCCCTACGCAGGACAGCATCATCAAACCTTTAACAGATATCACCCACTAGGCCACTAGGTGCTAGAGTCAACCGTCAAGATTAGGGATAAGGTAATGACTCTTGTCTAGGTAAAAGACTCAAAAGTGATACCATTTAAGTAAGTAACAGCACCATGAGTGTCAAGTATAAAAAGCTTTAGCAGCTTTATAAGGATCGAGAGTGGTAAAACAGCTCATTCTTAACATACCATGCCTTCAAGCAAGTCCAAATCTTGTACATATTAGCTACAATGCTCCCGAATATAGGATGCCTAATCAATATTTTTGCCTCTCAATTAGTTCCTTTTCACCTTTTCTCGTAATCATATGCAATCGTGTTTGAAACTCAGTAAAGCATCAAATCATAAGGTCCACACTAAGTCACCAGCTCACTCATCCTCACATAGTCACACAGGACGGCTCATGTAATCACCGAAAACATTCTGCTGGATATCCAACACTTTGCAGGTCTTAATTATAACTTCTAATCAAATTTTTCCCTTCCAATTCACCCTTTCTAAAAAAAAAAAAAAAAAAAACTACCAACAAGAAGATTTTTCAAAACATACCACATTTTTTTTACTTCTAAGCAATAGTTAATCACCTAATATCATTAATTTCCAACAACTACACTCTATATCAACCAAAAGCATAAAAAATCGTAAAAACTCGAATTCGCAATCATAATATACCATTAATTGACAAGAAATGAGAAAGAAAAACATACAAATGCGAGCAACATTAGGATCCTCATCTTGAATCTCATCAGCAGCCTGCAAAATAGCATCAATATGGGAAGCACGGCCGAGCGAAGGCGGAACAGCTCCAGCGAGGCCGCTAGGGTGGCGCTCATGAGTAGGAGCGGCAGTCCGAAGCTGCTCTCGCCGGAGAGTAGCTCGAACAAGGCGCTCCCAATTGTCGAGAACTCTTGCCATATTTTTTTCCCTTCAATTACAACATTCGAAACCCTAGCTCAATCGAGAAACCAGTTGCGTGATCAAATCGATTAAAAAAGGGGGAAAATTGGAGTATTTGAAGAACGAATTTGAGAGAATTAGGGTTAAACTGTTTGACGAGTGAAAAATCTCAGAAGACAAAGTGATGAAGTGATGATTTGTAGATTGCGAATGGAGGAGAGAGAAAATGGGGGAAAAACTTTTGAATGAAAACTGAATGAGAAAAAAAAAAATTATGTGAACACAATTTGGTGGTGGTGTGGTGGACTTTAAGCTTTTCAGTTTCAGATTAAAGATCGCGGGAATTGGTAGTGTCGGGATTTGTATACTTTTTTTTTTTCTTAAGGGAAAAAGGGGTTTGATACTTTGATGTACCCTGACAAAATTGATAAGTGTGAGTTATGAAATGGAAAATTTTATGAACATTTAAAAAGAAAATGTACTCCATAACAATTTAACTAACACACAAAAATAGAGACCTTGTGAAAAAAAGGTGTACTAAAAAAATAAGTAAGAGGCTTAAAAAAGAGCGATTTAGAAAAGTGATGCACTTACCTAAACAAAGGGGATAACCTTTTTTTGGCAAATAAACTTGTGACCTATCGTATAAAGCCCTCGGTCTAAAACATTAGATCAAGACCTCATTGATGTTATTAAATGAAAAGTAAGTTATGGGCACGGGTCATACATATCGTGTTAGCAATATGTGCCTACAACAGGACAAGAAATAGGTGTGACATGTTATAGGTATATTTACAACTTGAACTTGTTTTTTCCAATCTATTATGAAATAAGGTGAACTAAAGGCCTAACCACATACATAGGGGAACATAATTTTGTTTAGCTTTACCTTTATCACCCCCTTCATTATTAATTTATCTTCCTGTTTACTGTTCATATAGAAAAAAAATATATTAGTGAAAAGTAGTCCCTTTTTAAGTTTTAGGTATGAGATAAAGTTTTTTAGAAATATTGATATAGTTATACTTTATACAAAGTATAAATTTATGTGGATCAAAGTTGTGTTAGAAACAGCGATATCAATCATCAATAACATAATAGATAATACTAAAACAGACCCTAGGAATGACACGTGTCACCTTCTGGTGTCATTTTTTCCTTCAAAAACCCATTTTCCAAAAATAAATATATCCTAACTTTATTTTTCTTTTTATATTTTTTTGATTGACAACTTATTTAAGACAATAAAACTATTTTTTAGTTTATATATTATAATAGAATTTAGAGATTTCTATTAATAATATTAATATTATTTGCTTAAAATGATTTTTTCTGATACATATTACAATCAACTGGATTTAATTTATAGAAGGAAATTAGAAAAAAAAAATCTTTACGTTATATTGCATCAAGTTGACTTGAATACAGAAATTGATAACTATATATTGTTATATACTTTATATTAAAGGTGATACAGGAATGACATATGTCATCTACTTTTTAATAATTTTCCCGCCATTTATTTATTTATTTATTTGCCAAAACTTCTTAGAGAACATTTAATACGAGCAAGCCTCGGTTTATAACCTACATAAACAAATTATGTTTATCAAATAACATTTTCATAAATAAGTTGCATTGAAAATTACGTTTGTGGGTCACTATGACAAGTTGGACAGATTTTCAAAATTAACACTGCTAACTCTCTGTTTGCTACTATTCATCATTTTCTTCCTCCCACCTTCTTCTTCTTCATGTTCATCTTCTTCCTCTTGTTCATATTTTTTTCCCACCCACCTTAATTTTCTCCTTCCAATCTTTGCCCACTTTCACCTTCTCTTTTAAGTTCGTTCGACTCCATTCTGCCGACTTCGCCAACGAAATTAAACGAAAACCCTACTAACAAAGGAGAAATTAATGGCATTTTCTGCGGCAGCCGCCGGAATCAAACAAAAACTCAAATAACAAAGTGAAAATAACAGGCATCACTACTAGAAATAGGCCGAATTCCGACGGACTATTTCCGACGGACATGTTTTTCCGTCGGAAATCCCATAAATTCCAACGGATTTTTATTCCGTCGGAAATTTACGACGGATTTCCTACGGAATAAAAATACGTCGGAATTTATGGGCTTTCCGACGGAATATTCCGTCGGAAATTTAATGTTTCGACGGAAATAAAATCCGTCGGAAATTTCCGACAGATAATTCCGTCAGAACATAATTAAATAATAATAAAAAAACAAACCCTAAAAAAACCTGGTTCCCCCCTCCCCTTTTATTTCTCATTTCTCTCTCCTCTCCTCTTCTCTCCGCCTCTCTTCTCCTTCTTTCTCCTCTCTTCTCCTTCTTCTTTTCCGTTTCTCTTTCCTTTCTCCATCACCTTTCTCCTTCTTTTCTTTCCTTTCTCTTTCCTTTCGCCTTCTCCTCTTTCTCCTTCTTTCTTTCTATGTTCCTTCGTTCTCTTTCCTCTTTTCCTTCCCTTTCTCTATTCTCTTTTCTTTTTCGTTCTCTTTCCTCTTTTCCTCCATTTTCGTTCTGTTTTTCTTCTTGATTTTTTTTCCTTTTTCCTCGAATTTTTGACAACAAACGCTGGAGTGTGGGCTGGTGGTCGTCAACAAATGAATAATTATGGTGTTTATGGTCAAATTCAACCATAAAAATTCCAGATCTTAAGTTTTATGGTCGAATTTAACCATATAATCCCAAATTCGAGGTATTGGAGGTGGAATTGAAGGTATGTCTTCGTTTTCTTTCTAATAATTTGGTTTGATTTTTTTTATTTTTTATTGTGGGTTTATTTCGATTTTTGTGTGGTTAATGTTTGATTTCGTTGTTTAATTTGAGTTTATTTTTGCTTGGTTGTTTTTTGTGTGCTTTTTGTGTGATTTTTGTGGGTTTTTTTTGTGGGTTTTCGAATTTTTGGTGGTGGCTGGTGGTGGTAGGTGGTTTACGGGGTGGTGGGTGGTTTACGGTGGAGGTGGGTGGTTTACGATGTGTAAGGGGGCAGGGGGGTATGCATGTGGGGGCAGGGGGGTATGCGTGGGTAGGGGGGCAGGGGGTGGGCTGGTGGTGTGGGTTGGTGGTGGGGGTGGGTTGGGGTAGTGAGTAGGGGTGTGGGCAGTGGTGGATCTGGGTGGGGTAAGGGTTGGGGGTGGGGCTTTTTTTTTTATTGACTTTTCCGACGGAAAATTCCGTCGGAATATACCTCTTCCGACGGAAAATTCCGTCGGAAACCTCTCCAACTCCGACGGAAATTTCCGTCGGAAAATTGCGACGGAATTTCAATTAAAGTCAAAAAAGGCGCCGACAGAAATAAATCCGTCGGAAACTAGCCTTCCGACGAAATTTCCGTCGGAAAAGGTCGAATTTCCTACAAATGGTTTTGCGACAGACTTGTTCCAACGGAATTCCGTCGGAAGGCTAGTTATCGACGGAATTTCCGATGTTTCCGACGGATTTTTACCGTCGGAATCAAGCTGTTTTCTTGTATTGCGTGGTTAACCCTAAAGGGTAGATAAGCTTTTCTCCCTCCATTGATTTCGACTTGTTCGACGTCATATAATGAAAAAATGTAATTTCTCCCTTTGAAATTAAAGGTTGAAGGAGGAAGGAGAAAACAATAAAAGGTTGAAGGAGGAGAGAGAAAATCAAAAAAGATTGAAAGAGCAAAGGTTAACCAAAGTTAGATGTAATTTACATATACACCCATATAAACTTGTATTTTCTCATTTAATACTATGTAATAATATTTAATTTCCCTTACTATTTGGTAATTATGCTCCATTCAACGGCGGATGTAGAAATTTTAGTTTGGAGGGGCACTTAGGAAAAAATAAATAAATAATAAGAAAAATGCTTGTTCTAAGGATTGAACCTAAGGCCAAACATAAGGTAAATGCATTACTAGTAAAACAAAGCTAGTTTAAGATTTTATATTGCATTGAAAATTGTATTTAAGCTTTTAAATTACACCTTATATAGTAGATACAAAAAAATTTAAAAATCTGACTTTTGTGGGGCCCATGCCACCAAGGCCCCACCGTAGATCCGATCCGCCATTGATTCCATTTATATACATTCAACAAATATATTATTCTTTAATTAACACTATGCAATAATGTTTTTCCACGTATAACTTTGTAACGTAATCCATAATTATTTTATTAGTCGTGCATGTACTACTCCCACTATTTTCTTTAGTATGATATAATTATATTTCTAATTTTGTAATTACATACGAATTTTTCATCTTATTTTACAATTTGATAATTATTATAATTAGATAGAATATTAAACTAATAATAAATAGTGAAATTTACCGTGCATGTACGAGACCTAACCTAGCATATAATAATACAAAGTATACCAACAAAGTGTTGACTCACTTGGTAAGTTTCTTACCTCAAAAATCGCGATGCATGGTTGACATCTTAGGGAGGACCAATTAAAAAAAAAATACAAAGTATAATTTAATATGATCATGTGGTGGGTAAGGAGTGTAAAAGTGAAATTTTGCTTATTTATACGGCCATACCATAAAAGAAATAAAGTAAAAGTGGAAAGATAAATATATATATATATCAAAAGGAAAACTAGGAAGATAAATAAAGAATAGCGGGGGTATATTATTGACGTATGTTTAAGTTTTTAATCGCAACATTATTATTAATATCAAAGTCCTTTCATTAATCCCATTTTATTTAAATAACATAGGTTAACCTCATAGCTAATAAGCTAATATTGTAATCTTTCTGTGGCAAACAATATTGTTTCGATTTTTATTTATCTGTATATTTCTAATAAAATCTATACCATTGTATTACTTTAGAGAGGGAAAATATGTTGTGTCGTAATATACCTCTCCCTCGTCCATGAAATATTGTTAGACATATGAATCATACTCCCTCCGTATTTTTAATAAGTGTCACACTTATCAAATGCGGTCGTGTTTTAATAAGTGTTACACTTCCTTTTTTGGCAAAAAACTACATTTTAATATTATATATCTCTTTTCATGACCCCCATCCAAACCCACTACTACTTTTTTTTTATTTATTATTTCTCTTTTCTCACATTCATTACTTTTCAATAAATTATTAACCCTACTATCTTTCTTTTACAATTTTTTAATACTACAACTACCCCACTTACCTCTATTTTATTTAGAGCTTGTTTGGTTGAATGTAAGAATTGCAAATTCCTTGGAAATTTGATTTCCCATGAAATTGAACTTTTTAGGAAATTCTAAAAAGTGTTTGGTTAACCAAGAAAAGTGGATATTCTCATGGAAAGTTCCACTTACCTAGGTCCCCTTGGTTAATTATTCACTTCCTCCATTTTGTGGGAAGTGGGAATTCATGGGAATTTCTACTTCCCATGAATTTGTCAACCAAACAAGTCCAAACAATTTCAATTCCTAGGAATTTCAACTTCCCATGTTTTTATTTGTCAACCAAACAACACCTAAGTCAATTCAATTAAATTGCTTAAAACTATGTGTCGGTCAAAGTATAACACTTATTAAAACATGGAGGGAGTAGTAGCTTACTTATTTCATAAGACCCAATTATGATTTATAAGATCAGATTAGGATCAAATTAGCATCTATTAAACTACCATAATTGAAAAGCATAATATAAACGCGTATTTCTAATCAAAGCACGATATCAAAGAGAATTATGTCTTTTTCCCTTTCTTATTTCACTAATTCACAGCATGCATGATCGATTCACTAATAATATTAAATAATAATGTTAAAAAATGAACCTATTTTTTTCTAACTCTCGCACATTCTAGTTTTCCAATACTACAATAAGTAGGAAATTAAAGATTAATGGAAAACAAAGGAAATCATTGATATATAAATTAAGTAATAAAGTAGACTTGATATTTTCCATAACATTTTTATAACATTTAAGTTTGTATAGAATTAAATGACATTAAAAAATTACAATATTTTTTATTTTTGGTAGGAAATGCAACCGATGATGTTATAATTACTTGCTGATGAAATTTTGAGAAGGAAGTTAAGCCAAGATGGATGATCAACATCATTAATCAATCATCTAATCCAATTAAAATGCCGATCGAAGAGGGTTGCCGTAGCTTTAATTATTTCTTCAATTTTTCCTTCAATTTCTTCAATTTTTTCTTCAATTTTTCAATCGAACCAAACCATGTAGTAAATCCTAATTTGACAACAGGAACCATATAATCAATGACAAGTTTTTTGTGCATGAGCAGTATTAACAAAGAGCAGAGAACTAAAGTGATGATGGCAATCCAGGGTTCGGCGTGGATGGTTGTAGCATACACTCCCGTCATGAAAGCGACCAATGTAGCGTATAATGATAATAATAGCAACAACAGGCTGAAATCCATTAACACGACTGATTTGCTTTTATCTGTTGTAGCGATGACCCAAAGCAAGCAAAATAAGACCGTCATTGACAAGCACATTGCCAATATGTTTGAGATCATAAAAGCCTGAAATGCTGCCTTACTTATCAGAGCTGGAAACCCTTTATTACCTTCGACATTTCCACCAGGGACAGTGAATGCTGCTGTGAACGTTATTGTCGTTATGAGAGCTGCTACAACACCCATTGTGTTTGCGTATTCTTGAATCTGTGATGTAGGAACATCCCAAACACTTCGAATACCCACCACTAATGCACGGCTTTTCAACAATTCTTGAAGCTGTGTACCAAAAGGTATATATGTATGTCTTACTTAAGATCGAAGATGAAGAATGGTGAAATTATTAACATTTTAAAATAAACCAAATGCACCACAACTTATTGTGCACCTGACCATCTTTTGTAAATAAAAAATTCACCTTTTAGATTCAATTGCAAACTATCTTCCTAAATTACTTTTACATCTCTCCTTTATATTATGACCCGAAAAGTGGTTATAATATCACACAAAAGGTAATTAAATTACTCGAAATCAAAAGGTAATTATACATTCGAAAAATGATCAAAACATTTGAAAGGTAAGTAATATCATTCAATAAGTGATTATATAATTCAGAAGGTGATGACTATATTATATTATTTGAAATGTAATTATATTATTCAAAAATTAATTATATCATTCGAAATGTAATAATATCATCCAAAAGATAATTATATTATCAAGAAAAGTGATTATATTTTTAGAAAAGTGATAATTATATATATTTTTAGAATAGTGATTATAGCATCCAACTAAATTTTGTAAAACACAACCAAATCATTCAAAATATGACTCACAACAAGATAATTATATCTTCTAAAAAGTAATCATATCATCTAGAAGGTGACTACTCCCTCCGTCCTAGACTAACTGACACATGCATTGAACTTTTTTCACTAATCATATATACACTTGACTACAATTTTTTTACAAACTAATTAAATAAAAATTAAACATACTTTAATTTGTCATAAAATATATTGTTAAATGTATTAACATAAAGCTTCATAATATAACTAGGTTAAATCTATTATTATTAAATAAGTATAATGAAATTATTAAATTTATTATTGTTAAATTAGTGCATCGACATATGTATAATGTTTAACTGTAATTATTCTGTGACAGAAGGAGTATTATTTGTGAGTGTCAAATTATTGAGTCTACAATACATTTGTGTAGATTGAATCCATAACGAAATTAATAAATAGTTAAGAACTTACCTCGTCAGGAATCTCTTGTGAGGATCTTATTAAATCGCTAGGAGTTATACCAGCATCATTCTTCCTTTCTAGAAGATCGTTCATCTCTTCAGGCTTCATCATATATTTAAGAAAATTAATTGCATGGTCAAAGCGTCCACCTTTAGTTGCTAAATGCAATGGCGTGTTTCCTTCATAATCTTCACGGACAAGAATATTTTTCAAGTTTGGATCTACTTTAAGAAGGTTCTTATTAGTATAGTATGAAGGACGATTTATTAACAGGTGCATAAATGTTTTGCCATATTTTTCATCGGCCATAAATGTTGCTTCAGGGGATTGATTAAGAAATGTTGAAATTGTAGCCAAATTATGAATCTGAGTCGCCCTCAAAAGGGGTGTTAGCCCATTCTTGTCAAATGTGCAAGCCGCATCCGTATTTGCGTCCTTCAATGTTTTCATGTCGTCTTCGTCCAGTGGTTCCGCAGCTAATCAAGCAGGATAATAAGTTATGACAGGACTTGACACATTTGTTTTCACATGACAGAACAAAGCTTTAGCGACTTACCCGCAGGACGTCCACCTACGAGGTGAAGAGGTGTTTCATTGAGAAGGTTTGTCAAATTAGCAGTAACTGCAAGATCCAGCTTTAATAGTTTTTTCACCACTTTCTTGCCATGATTTACTCTGAGTGCTTCATGAATGGGTGTATTTCCTTCCGCATTTTGCACCAACCATGGCGGGTCATAACGACCTCCTTTTACACTAGCCTCTTCCTGAGCTTTATTAAAATACGAACAAAATAGATCTATTAAGTCCTCCACAAGGGATGATTTTGACAATGACAACACTTCATAACTGCACGATGACTCAGAACTGTCAGAAGTAGGCCTGGTTATTGGGTAGGGCTACCCAATGGCAAAAGGGTCGGGCCTAATACTAAAGGGTTTTGACCCTTTAATTTTTTAATGGACAGGGCTTTTATAGGGTCTTATTTTATAGGGTTTTTATAGGGTTTTATTTTATAGCCCAATAATTTAATAATTAAACTAAAGAGCCCAATAATAATTGTAAGGGTCAGCAGTCAGCTACTACCTCTCTTCCATTTTCTCTCTCCTCCATTTTCTCTCTCCTCCATTGAAGCCACTCAGAGTTCTCCATTGAAGCGCAACTTCAGAGTTTTCCATTAAAGCACTCAGAGTTCTCCATTGAAGCGCAACTTCAGAGTTCTCCATTGAAGCGCAACTTCATAGTTCTCCATTAAAGCGCACTCAGAGTTCTCCATTGAAGCGCACTCAGAGTTCTCCATTGAAGCCGCGCACTCAGAGTCTCAGGTAACATCATTTTCTCTCTCTTAATCTGTTATTCAATTTTAATATCTGATTGAAGATCCGGTTTAGGTTATATGATGTGATCGAAAATCAATTCAAATTGGATTTTCTTCTGGGTGATTTTGCTTCTTACTTGAGCTTGGAGAGTGATAAAAGGATTGTGGGTAATTTTGCTACTTATGAGTCTGTTGTTCTTGGTGTTGCTAATGCTGATTTATTTTGGTGTTTTTAATTATAATTTGGGAGTTTTTTTTGCTTGATTATAATTGTGTTTGATCTGAACTCATGGATGAATGATTATAACCCTTAATTTTGTGTGCTAATCATGTCACATATTTTCTGCACTTGTGCCATTGAATGTTTTCATTTCTATATTAGCTACAATTTGAAAATACTTGAATTAAATCAAACCAATAAAGGCTTGATAAAGTATACTATTAATCCATCTATATATTAAGATTAGTATGCTATTTAAAGATTAGTAGAAGTTAATGGCCCGTTTTACTTTTACCTCGACCCTGACCCGCATTGACCCTGACCCGACCCTGACTCGCTAAATATTCATCATGACCCGCAACCGACCCGCCCCGCTAATGACCCGCACCGACCCGCCCAATAACCACCCCTAGTCAGAAGCAAAAGGAATCATAGTGTTAGGAGAATTTTGGACAAGGGTATGAGCGGAGTGTCTCCATTAAGGTCTACTTGACAGATTAGTTCTGGAAAGCTTTCAAGAACTTGTTCGATGAAATCAAAAAAATCAATATGTAACATAGTCATTCCGCTGTTTAACTGCATTAATTTATGAAGGATGTTCCTCCTTTTGGAATCTCGCGGGAATAGAAATATCATTCCAAATTGATATAATCTTTCTTTTAAAAAGATTACATCCGCCCTTTCTGTAGCTTCACATACCTCCATTGTCATTTGTTTTTTCTCCATGATCACCTGCAACATTACATTGAATACACGTCATCAATATACAAAAGGAACTCCTTTTATAAGCAAGTTTTAGCTAGATATCTCTTAAATTTTCTTTTTCCAATGTCATTACCTTAATCAATTTTTTTTTTTTTTTTTGCAAAGTCATACCTTATGCTGGAAAATGGAGTTTCACCTCATTTCAATTCCAACGTTGACTACCCCAACCCCACCCACGAAACCGCCCCCTCCCCAGCCTAGTTCACAAAATCACCCCCTCCTTAGCTCTTTCACGAAACCGCCTCCCCTCCTCATCCCCATCAACGAAATCTAACCCCCTCCTTTCCACCACCCCGTGAAATTTCGGTTTCAAGTGGTTGTAGTATATTTTAAGTTGGGGGGCGCTGCTAAGGGGTGTCGATGGAGGGGAGAGGGGTGGCTAGAGCTATAGAGGAGGTTTTACGGTGGTCAACCCCGTGAAAGGGGTGGATTTAGGATAGTCAAAGCCGTGAAAAAGGTGGTTTTGTGGGTGAGGGAGGTGGTTTCGTGGGTGGATTGGGGTAGTCAACGCGCTGGAAAAAGTGTCAAACCCCATTTTAATGAACATGATAATCGATGTAGAAAACGAACAATGATATCATACATGGGAGATTGGGCAATCTAGTGGGAAAATTTTAATGTTTTAATAAATAAAAATTAGTAATAATTCAAAAAATAAAAATTATTAATTGTTATTACTAAAACAAGAAGAATAGTCGGTGGTAATTGCCAAAAAAATCCAAAAAAAATGACAAACAATTATTGCTAATAACGTAAAACCGAAATAGAAGGATATAAAAACATTCACATAAAAAAAGCAATGACAGTTCAATTCCTACCTCAGATTGTTCTTGAATCAAAGCTCCAGCGGGGATTCCATCGTAGTTTTTAATGCTTTGTTCCGCTGAGAAATCTAACAGAGCTCGCACCAAGAAATGGTTCAAATTCATTGTAGCCAAATGTAATGGCGTGTTTCCTTGTTCGTCTTGATGATTTATCAGGCCAAATAATTCTGGAACACCAAGCAAGTCTTTGGCTTCTTTGTAGCTCGGTACAGTTTTCAAATGGTGCAAGATGGTCTTGCTTGAATTATCACGCACCTTCACTGATTTCGGACACTTATTAATTATGAATCTAATGATTTGTAGAGTGTAGGTTGAGGTGATTGATGCTGCCCTATGTAAAGGAGTCCTTCCTTCTGCATCTTGCCAGCATGCTATACAACTCTCTTTCTCTATCATCAACTTTATTATGCCAAAATAGGCTGAACCTAGAGCTTTCCTCTCCTTGATTGGTAAATCTATTTATTTCATCAAATTATATAAATCAGATAAATAAACTTCAACATTTTCCTAGATTTTCTATTATTAAATTTTAGGAGAACCATAATATATACATCGACTCTTTCTACAAATTGAAACATACATGATTACATGTGTAAAACAAAAAGAGATGAAGTAGTTATGTTTAAAGGAGTCCTTTCCTTGGTTAAACTTATATGTGTAAAACAAATGTCCTCTAAGTTTTGTAAAAAACGAGAAACCATTAATCTTAGATAATTGTCGATCGATATGATATATATGTGTAAAACTAATGTACAGTATGGTGAAACTTATAATAGAGGCTAAGTCACCATTAACTGTAAAAATAAAGAAAAAAAATTGTGTACTAGTTAGGCCCTGTTCACTTCACCTTAAAATAATAATATTCAGTAAAAATAATTTCAATTCAGCAAAAATATTTCAGTTCAGTAAAAATATCAATTCATTATAGTCATTGCAAAATATCCTCTAATTTAAGTACTTACGAATGATTTGCCGGTATTGTTGGACTGCAAGATGAAGAGGCGTCTCCTTCATATTGTTGGTTACACTAACCAGTTCGGGATGTTGTTCCAGCAACAATTTAGCAATCTCATCCCTTAATTTGACAAATGCAACATGTAACGGAGTGTTGCCATTTCCATTTGTGACCTCTACCTGCTTATGATCATAATCAAGGAGCAGCTTGAAACAATCGGTGTTGCCCACCTATGCGGCAACATGAAGAGGGGTGTTTCCGTCTTTGTTTTTCCTACCGCGAGTGAGGTCTGAAGAGTGCTTCGCCAACAATGTAGCTACCTCATCCTTGCCTTTGATAAGTGCAAGGTGCAAGGGTGTGTTGCCGTCTATGTTCTGCAAACTCAAGGCCATACCCACCGGCGTCAACACCGTAGCCTCCTGTTGGTATTCAAAGAGCAACTTGAAAAACTTGATGTTTCCCATCCACGCCTCATAATGAAGAGGGGTATCTCCCCTAAAATCCTGCTGCTTAATCAGCTGATCAGTTACTGCTCTTGGCAATAACTCCTCGCCCTTCAAAACTTTTTCTATGAATTCATTTTGCCCACTTTGGATTGCTAAGTGAAGGATATTTTCTTTAAAAGCATTGGTTTGAAGAAAATACTCTTCACTTCTGCCACTTTCTATTTCATTGATTCGTGCTTCTTCCACGAAGCTTACCAGGTCGCCATGTCTGGCAGCTGCGTAAAGCTTACCATCCATCACCTCCCTGTTTCCTAAGGTTCCCGTGTCTCCCACTTTGTTTTTTATTGCTGAAATGAAACAACAAATTTTTTTTTTTTTGTTTTTTTTTTTCGAAATAAAATTTTGTAAGAGCCACTCAAAATACAATGTGAGTTTTAATTGACTTCCTTATTAAATTGGTTTCACCTTCCCTCTTTATTTATTCTCCTAGCTGGATACCTTACTTGCTCATTTTCTTACATAATGAGTAAGTTTATGGAATTTTTCTTTTGTAAAGTCATGCCATCCTTTTAGTTATTTAAATATTCTTTGCCACATTAACAATTACTGAATATTACTTCACGATGCTCACGTTTCTTTTTTTTTTTTTTGAAAACATGCTCACGTTTCTTAAATTTTACTTCTTTTAGTCCTTTGTTAATTTCATGTCATGTGTCATACATTTACTTTTGTTGTATCAAGAAATAGGAAAAATATTATTTTGAACTTAATTGCATGATCGAGGTTTGTATTATAGAATATTGTAGTAAAAAATTGTCAGTTGGGTTGATCAAATAAGGACTTCAAACTAGCAAATCCATTAAAGAATTGAGTTCATTAAATAGAGAGTGCAAATAATTAACAATTCAATGATATATAAAATTGCTTTTTTACATTATTATTATTATTATTATTATTATTATTATTAATATTATTTCATCAGTAACTTTTGTGTGCGGCTGGCCACATACCCACATCGTGTGGCCAGTTGACACACACCAAGTAACCCTTGATCGACAAGAAATCTCTGACCAAGTTATTCCTGACCGACCAAGTAACCTCTAACTGACCAAATAACCGCGATCGAGTAACCCCTGACCAACTTAGTAACACTGGTCGAGTGATTAACCTCTGATCGACTTAGTAACCTTTGATCGAGTAACCCCTGACCAACTTAGTAACCTTTGACAGAGTGAGTAACCCCTATAGCACTAACAGTGTAACCCCCAAAAAAATTGGCCACACGATGTGACCAACCACATATAAAAATTTGTGATATTTCATAGTTTCGTATCAATGCCAATTCTAATTCACTTTTCTTTATATTTCCTTAGTTATTTAATGTTCACTATTTTTTGTGAGTTTACAGCTAAATAATGCCTTTATTTATTAATTTTATGTAATTAATAATTTAATATAGATTAAGAAAATTACTATTGTTTATACCCTATTTCTTTTTGTGTTTCTGATTTGAAAATTTTGATGATTTTCAACAACTTTACGTACTTTTGGCACATTTTATGTCCCACATTTGGCCATTCAACATTCGTCAACTTTCAACATTCTTTGCTGCAATTATAGTTATAGAATATTGTTTCCACATCACTCTTTATGTTTTTTTTTCTTACGACTTTACAAGCGTAAACCATCAAACTAAAGATTTATGGAGTATAGTATAGTTTACAATCAGTGGCGTATCCAGGATTTCAAAGTACGGTGTGCAAAATTATAATAGGGATTCAATTATAACATTTGAACATGATAAATCATTGTATAATTCAAAGTAATAAAACATTATTCTAAGCTATTAAGATATTCTTTTTCTTTTTCTTTTTTTTACTTGCAATACTTTTCTTTTCACGCTAATCGGTGCATTATTTCAATCGTTAATACATTTAATTACCAATATGTAAAAAATTTAAACATTTGATATTAAAAAAGTATCAGTTGAGATGAATCTAACAATATATCACATGACTATATTTTTGTTTAGCTATAAATCAAAAATGCTAGTCAAAGTGAAAAATCTATGTAATATATAAAGAGAAGCGGTGTCGTTTTTGGTTGGGAATTTTTTAGTGAACCATTTTACCCTTGATCTCAAAAAAAATTATTATAATTAAAATAAATTAAAATATATTTAAAGTTTAACCTTAAAAAATAACTTCCAATTTTAACTACTCCATGAATTTAAAATGATAACTTCTCTTAGGGTGGTTATTTTTTCTCAAATCAAATAATTCTTTCAAGTGTAGTTATGTTACACTGTATATTAGTTTAATTCGGGAATATTTATTTTTTTTTATCATTTTTCCTTTTTTTTGGTGATATAAATTTGACACTTGGTGTTTTAAAAGTCAATATTTTGTAAGTTTGCATATGATTTTTTTAACTTTTATATAAGTATAAAAGCAACATATTATAATTTATTTAGTAGTACGAATATTTACATTGTAAACATATTTTACAAGTATGTATTATTTGTTTGATAAATAAATTGGAACTTATTTTACAAGTATATGCATGATTTAAATGATACATAAATACAAGGAAATTTATTTAACCTGTAATAAATACAATGAAATTTATTTAACCTGTATAATGCTTTAAAAAAAAAAAAAAAAAAAAAAAGCTCGTGCAAAAGTAAAATCTAGGATTGTTTTGCATGGTTTTCTTTAATAGCTCATCCCTTGAATGGATTCTTACCATTACTAATTATAAAAATTACGGAGTAATAAAATTATGTCAATATATAAGCCATTTATGCAAATAAGTAAATTATAAAGATAACTTTTTGCATAAAGTATAAAGAGGAGGGATAGTCGTGCACGCATTGCGTGCGCTTCTAAACTTGTATAAATAATGTAAAGGTCAATTTGATAAGTAAAAAAAAAAGCTGGAGGAATTACTAACTATAAGATAAAACCTTAAAATAATTTAAAGTATAAATATTGTAAAGTAAAAATATAGGAGTATCTCAGTACCATTTACAAACTTCCCCTTATTACCCACCTTTCACGTGATACATTATGAGGTATTTTCTTTTTAATTTTTTACAAAAAAAACTTAAAAAAAAAAAAAAAAACTTAAAAAAAACATTAGCCACTATGTACACTTTTATACCTTAATAATAATTTAATATCCCTTTAATATATTGCATGTATCAACAAGTAATACTTCATTTAGCGATAAAGTTTTTAAGAAATATATCTCAAATTAAAATCTCAATTAGGTTGTAACACTCCCACATGTTATTAGGTCATATTTGTTACCAAATGCATATTTAGGGTCACATATACTTTGTACTTGTGCTCACTCTTGCACAATGGAAACCCAATATTGAATTACGTATATACTTCGTAATAATTATAACAATTTAATACATGGAAGCTACTCATCATGATTGATCAAGATGTATCAAACATAATCTCACACAAATAAATAAATAGTAATAATTAACAAAAAAATTGCAAAAGTACGTGAAGTTGTAGAAAATTTTCATTAGCTTTTTATGGGAATTGCCAATAAAAAAGAGATGAAACCTACACATAGAATGGGATAAACTCTCCTTATGAAGAAGGAGAGACATAAGTGGTTTATTTGAGTGAATTTATGCATAAGTAGTACTAGATCATCTTTAAACATAGGACATTAAACATAAGTGGTTGATTGAAATGTGCCCTACCAGGCCACGACCTTAGCTAACTTCGCCACTATACTTCTATATATTATTTAATTAATTTTTTTTATTTCAAAGAACAATTCAAGCATTTATCTCCAAGATTTTTACAATAATATTCACATCAAACCTAATAATGCCTAAGTGTAAGACCACAAGCACACTACCGAATTACCAAGCCATACATATATAAATTTAATACTACCTCTGTTAATTATTATGTGCAACAAAGAATTATTTTATATCTCACAAATAATACCCCTTTGTTACACATGATAATTAACGGAGGTGTATTATTAAAACTAGTTACAATTAACACAGTACCAGACTTTTCCGACCCTTGTCGGTTAAGATAATCCAATACCTTAACTGTATTTATGTGACCAACTTGAACTGCTCTCGTGATTGGGGTAAGACCATCCTTGTCATGCCAGGCCAACGCCTCTTCATTATACATCGTTATTGCTAATATCACATCTTCTGACCACTCCACTGAATCTACCATAATAAACATAGGTAACAAGTTAGCCTAGCTACTTGTATATCAAACAACAATCTTTGAAAGTCATATGTTCAGTTGATGCGTGATCGTAATATGTATCACTGGATGTTTTTAATATGGTCATTCTTATTATGACCATTACTATTCTTAAATTCTATTGGTTAATTACTTTTTTAAATGCTTGGTCAAACTTTTTTTTAAAAGAAAATTCATTTTCTTTTGTCTAATAAAAAAAATTGATTTTTGGAAAATCAATTTTTATTTTAGTACTGAGTAATTATTTTATTAAAATCAGTTTTTAATAAAATTAAAAAATGTGTGACATTTGTCTCGTAAATACACTCGTGCATCGACAAAGATTCAAAATATGCCCCGATCTATGCAACATATGCGAAATTTTAAGAATTCCGAGATCGTAAATCAACCACCAAATTCTCTAAAAGGGTTAATTATTTCGATTGAATATGAACCCAAAAAAAACCCTAGAAATTGGGGATAATTAAGGATGAAAGAGAGAGTAAAAATTGCCTTAAGAACTTTAGGAGATGGAAAAACTGAGATGCCTTACAAAGGAGAGAAGAATCAGTTTCTGATTTTCCACCGAGGATGCAAATCAATGTTACAGAGCTCTCACGGAAATGATGGAGAAAGAATCACTTTGGCAGAATAAACGCCGAACAATTTTATGATTTTTGTTTTTTGAAAACATGATTTTTGTTTTTTTAATTTAGTCATATTTTTTAAATAGTTATAAAAAAATGATTTTCCAAAAATTAGTTATAAAAAAATGATTTTCCAAAAATTAGAAATTAATTTTTGGAAAAAGAAAGTAAATTAAAAAAAAAATAAAAAAAATAAAAGAGGTTTAAGAATAGTAATGGTCATTTTAAGCATGATCATAGTAGAATTTTCAATGCATCACCACAATCCAGCCTATCAATTAATTAAGTACTCCATAGTAAGTTTCCTCAAAAAAAAACAAAAAAGTACTCCATAGTAAGTACTCCGTCGTTATTTTTTAAGTAACAAACATACACACTAGATTTCACACATAGTTTTAGAATAATTATATATGTTGAGAATATATATTTTGGTAGTGAGATTTGTTAGCAAGTTATATTATGTGATATAGCTTAGTGAATTAGTGATAATGTGTTTAATATTTTATATATAAGTAAAGAATGTAAAAGAAAATTATATTTGATTAATGCAGTACAAATCATTAATAAAAAAAATAAGAACGAAATTAAATTTTTCATAAAAGAAATAAAGTTTAAGTGGGTAGAAATTAAAATAATACAGAAAATAAAAAATGAGTAAAACTTAGAAAAAATAAAATTAAAGGAGTACGGCCAGTTATACA